CCCTATAGGGCATTTCACTGCAGCCATGAAAACAGCATTATTTGGAATAGGTGCAACCGAACAGTCATGATATGCTGCGATGCTAACTCAAATAAACCACAAGCAAGCAGAGGAATGAGAAATGGCAAAATCAGAGAAATGTTACCGGGCTGCGGCCATGCTTCCTTACCTGACCTTAGGACTAGGTTTAGAAATGTTCAACGGAAAAGGAAAAAAGAAGGAGAAATAGAAAGCAAAGAATCAGTGGGGGGAAAAGCACAGTGCCAGAGCTAGATGACATAGCCACCAAATGAGAAAAAGAAAAAAAGCTTCCTTGGTTGATTTTCTTTGGCTTTTAATTATTTATTGATGAAAGAAATCTATGTAGGCTGCCCGTCTACTAAAAAGAACTCTGGGTGGCTATATGAAATCTCCACCTAAGAAACTTTAGATAAGAGAAGACAGGAAAATACTCTGCTTGTGATCCTGGAGAACTTCCAATGGGGATCAATGCGATTGGGCTACATACATGGACAACTTCTGGCCTAATATAATCTTCCTGCCATGTTCTCAGTTCCTGTGGGATGACAGGAACAGCTCTCAACCCAGGCTGGAGAACTAACAGCCAGCAGATACTGCTCAACCACAAGTCCCCCTGGACTGCAGTATGAGGACTTCACAAGTCCTTGCAAAGGTCTACTTTTGACACTGTCAAAACTGAGTTGGTGGTTAAGCCTCAGAGGAGGTTAACTGTTCAGAGACGGTTTAGTTGTGAGAATGATGAACTGACAAGGTCACTGCTGAAGAAACCTAGCAGAGATCGAGTTGTTTTTGATCTGATCTTCTGGGCAAAACATTTTCAATGCCAAATAAGACCGACATGCCTCTGCCTAAAATTTCAGCCTTCTTTTTAGCCTATTTTTATGACAAAGCCATTTAGAAGGACCCTGACTGACACAGGGAATGGGCTAAAAAGAGAACAGTATGATCCTATTATTAATGAATGATGCATTGAAGATATATATACCACTTGCCATGAAACTGTTAAGCAGTTCTGAGCACGGTATCCTTATGAGCTGCTATTAGGGGGTTGCAACCGATTTTAGATGGGATGGGCTCTCCTTGAAGAGTCCCAATACATCATTTTGAGGTTCTCCTGGGTCTGCTGCACCCCAAGGCCATCAGGATAGCGATGGTCAGGGGATGATCTTAATGAGCAAAGGCAGCCCTAGCCTTTTTTGGAGAAACCTGACCACGCTCTTATGAGGTCTCCAGTCCAGAGTTTTTCCCAAACTCTCTGTGAGGGTGCCAAGACTTCTATACTGTTGCCTGACAGCTGATAGAAGAGATACAAGAAATTCATGGAATACTTCTATTCTACCAACATCAGTTTCAGCCAACATACAGTACTTGTAAAGCCAATTTAAAATGCTAATTAACAGGAACAAGACTTAAAATATGCTTTAGTGTAGCAGGCCTGCAACTCTGAAATGGAAGTGGACCATTGGAAGTCCACTTCAGCAGTTGTCACTAAAGAAACCCTCAAGATTCATCTGTTTTCTGTAACATTAGTGACATGACAGTTGCTATTGGTTTCAATGGTCCTGACCACAATTTGCATTTGTCATTTAGTGTTTCTAGATACAAATAATTGCTTTATTACTGTTGTGTTCATCTTAGGGGAGCCAGTTAAAACTATGAGGTTCTACCAAAGAGCATTAAAGTCAGCTAAGCAGCTCTGATCCTAAGGGAGGGAGGATAGGGAAGTGGCAGAGTAACATTCCATAAATATCTTCGGGATGTGTGCATATATTTGTTCATTCATTCTTCAAGTATGTACTACAGTACTCACTAGCTTAACCCTCAAATATTCTCTGATAAACAACTACGGCCACAGTTTACATTTTGTGGAGTAAGAAACCCAGATAATAACGCCACCAGCGGAATGTTACACTATTTAGATAAGAAATCTGGGAAGACTGTAATGTTTATTTGGCAGAATTGTGCAATGCCGAGCTCACACACGGTTGAGTAAATCGGTGTTTCTCAAAACTCAGCAACTTTGAGGCGTGTGGACTTCAGGTCCCAGAGTTCCCTAGCCCAGGGGTAGGCAACCTTGGCTCTTTTATGACTCGTGGACTTCAACTCCCAGAATTCCTGAGCCGGCATGGCTCAGCATGGAAACCTCTCCCTTTCCCCTCAGCGTGGCTTCCTCAGGGATTCTGGGAGTTGAAGTCCACCAGTCATAAAAGAGCCAAGATGGCCTACCCCTGAGTTACTAGGAAGATGAGGGGACTTCAACTCCCAGAATTCCTCTGCCAGCATGGCACCCTATATCAGGAATAGGCAACCTTGGCTCTTTTATGACTCGTGGACTTCAACTCCCAGAATTCCTGAGCCAGCATGGCTCAGTTTGGAAACCTCTCCCTTTCCCCTCAGCATGGCTGGCTCAGGAATTCTGGGAGTTGAAGTCCACGAGTCATAAAGGAGCCAAGGTGGCCTAGCCCTGCCCTAGCCAGTCCACACATCTTAAAGCTGGAAAGATTGGGAAACACGGGAGTAAATTATTTCCTTCCTTTCCTTCCTCTTTCCACAAAAGAAGAATCTGAAGGGCTAAGTGGGGGCAGATGCTTCTGGACCAAGGCAGACCCAGGAATAACAACTGTGCCTTGGGGGAAATGCCACTCGCTGTCAGATAATGAAAGGACCTTCTACAAGCAATCATTAAGCTATAGGAAAATGTCCCAGGGGCTAAGCTTGGGAGGTTTAATTATTAGCCTCACAACAATTCCACCGCCTGTAAACTGACTCCTCTCTCCCAGCTGAGAAAACCATCTCCAAAATGTTGGCCTTTACACGTTTCAAGCCTAGCAAATTGGAAGATGCTCTCGCTAATATGACCTTCTTGCTTATCCCGCCGTGGCAAGACCCAATTTCCTCCCTTGCAAGCAAGCTGCACATTCCTTTCGGAACAAAGGCTGGCTAAGGGCTTTGGCAGCGAGGCGACAACTGACAAACAAATCAAGACGGCGACCATGATCCACGGGGTGGATAATGCATTCTTTTGGGAAAGGGACCCATCAAGTACCAAATTTGCAAGACCGCCTCCTACCAAATGTCTCCCTTCGACCAGTCCGCTCCCACAGAGAGGGCCTCCTTAGGGTACCGTCGGCCAGCCAATGCCGGCTGGCGACCCCCAGCGGGAGAGCCTTCTCTGTGGCAGCTCCTGCCCTCTGGAATGACCTGCCCCCCCCGACCTACGTACAATTGCGGACCTGCGCCTCTTCTGCCGAGCCCTGAAAACTCATCTGTTTCATGCGGCCGGCCTGGCGTAGTTTTGATTGGGTTTTGTTAGGGGTTCTATATTTTAGAGCAGGCTTTTATGTAATATTTACTGTGATTTTTATTATTGCCTGTTCACCGCCCTGAGTCCCGTAAGGGAGATAGGGCGGTATATAAATTTAAATAATAAAAAATAAATTAAAAAAAATGGCCTTAAAGACCAGTTTTTCTTTCAAAATGGGGCTTGGTGGCTCAGCTGTGGGAGTCCCACACAAAGCTCTCCTCTGTTTCCAAAGGAAAACTTCTGGTGGGTGTGAGCAGGTATCGGGGAGAAATGGCGATTGATTCACCTGAGTCAATGAATAAGTCTACTGAATGGGTTGGAATGGAAGCGGTGGGTTATATGTAGAGTCACTCTTTCGCCATAACAAAACTCTCGTGGAAGGCAGAGCAGAGATGGGCTAAAATCATGAAGGCCTCACTGACAGGCTGGAAGCAACCAAGCGGTGACATTATGGGACTTGAATGAACTTCTGCAGAAAGAGATGTTTTTTTCCGGAAAAAAAAAGATGCTTATGAGGACAGCGTGCTCCTACCTGGCAGATCGGGCTCCCAGACTGAAGCCCATGTAGCCTTCGGCAGGCAGAGAGTCGTCCCCTAATTCTTTGAGATCCTGGGGCCCAAGGTACTTGTCCGTGTCGCCTGTCATTGCATCTTCACCTGCCAGCAGAAAAAAAGCAAGTGGAACTTAGGAACATATCCCAAACATTGGGACGCCCATCTTTATCATCAACCTTGCTAGGAAATAAAAAGTCACACACAACCACATACACACCCATCATCGGGCCTGCTGAAGGGTGATAAACATCAACCATTGTCTGTCTCTTCCTTGTAAAAAAAAAAGAGAGTGAGAGAAATCCTCCTTCGTGGGCTCATACATACTGAAGCATAAAAAGGGCCCTTCTCTATGTGAGACCCCAATGTCATCTCGTGGATTAATCACCACCTTGAACCACAGCTTTTTTTTAAAAAAAAGAAAGACAAACAGGTGATATCCAGAACACCTGATAAAGGCAAAGGGATCCCTGTATCCATTTCACCTGAACTCACAACAGGGGCACAGATGGGCAGCTGCTTCCTGACAGCCACAAAAGGTGATCTGCTGTGGTTTTTCTCGGCCTCTGGATGCTCGGCCCAAATCCAAGGAACTTTAAAATCCAACCTTTCCTTTCTCTCCTTCCTTCCTGTCCCTGGCCCATAATCGGTGCCCTGGAGGTTAAGCTTAGAAATATTAATTAGCGGAGAGTCTCCCGCTTAGGCTAGTACCTGCTCACAGGTAGAGAAAAGCATCCAGGTGGGTCCAGCTGTTAATGTGATCTCGATTCAGTGGAGCTTAGCACCAGCTCTTTTTTTCAGTGTGATCGCTTTTAAATGAAATGACTGTCCTCTAGGACAGGGGTAGGCCACCTTGGCTCTTTTGTGACTCGTGGACTTCAACTCCCAGAATTCCTGAGCCAGCCATGGCTCAGCTTGGAAACCTCTCCCTTTCCCCTCAGCGTGGCTGGCTCGGGAATTCTGGGAGTTGAAGTCCACACGAGTCATATAAGAGCCAAGGTGGCCTACCCCTGCTCTAGGACAGCCACAGGCCTGTTTTGCCCATATGACAGCCCAGCATTATAGGGGGGGGGGGGTCTCAAAAACCAGCAGGCATCCCCTTCTTCAAAATTTGGCTTTTCATGGGACCCCTCTCTGCATCCATCTCTCCTAATCTGTTCCCTCCCTGGCTCCCTAAACCTGTCCACGCCGCTTTTAACTTCCACCAGTTTGGTGCCAAGCACAGAAATAGTTGGTGAGTTTTTCTTTCCAGATTCAGATGCTGGGTGTAACTTTCTGAAGAGATTTGTGGCGGGCCATTTGCTCTGCTCTGTAATCTTACTTTAATCACAGAATGTTTCCTTAGTCCCACCTTCTCCCTACTTTGGGGAATCGTAGATCTCTATTCTTTTCCACGAGCCCCTGCTCATGGGGACATTTCGGAGCAAGGGACAAGGGTGACCCGAAAGGAACAACCTGTAGAATTCCTAGTGGAGAACAGGAGATGTCAATATATTTTTTTTATTCAGCACAGAGAATCCACACTGAGGTGAAGACATGAAGAACACCAAAGAGGTCCCCTCTCTTTTTGGAGAACAAGGCAAAAGAAGGTGGGTGTCTACAGGCAACCCAAGGTGGGAGGTCCAGGTCGGTCCAAGAAAGACAGGGCAGCCAAAACTGGATTCACATTCGGAGCCAAGCTGCTTTATTTGAAGTACAGACACCTCAAGGTGACGCAGATCAGGAAAAACCAGATTTTAGCAAAGATCTGGGTCTCCAACCAGAGAAGAAAAAAATACCCTTGGTAGATGCACCCAGCCAACAATGTATATAGGATCCCTCAAGCTGTGGACCGGCAGGGGATAATCTTGGTTTGTTTTAGGGAGAATAAAAAAAACTCTCCACTTGGTCCCTTCTTCTGCTACAACGCTGCCTGCCAGAGACCCCTCAGATCCATCTATGGGGCAGAAGATGACATTTTTGAATCCTGGTTTGTGGAAGTGAAATTCACAGCTACCCCGGGAGGTGAATCTTGAGAAAAATGAAATGCCACCTCGCTTTTCCTTGATTTTTGTCTCAGGAGGACAGAACAAAAATAAATTCTTCCTCATACATGTGGCCTCCAGGTTTAGATACAGATACCATAGACTTAACTACTAAGAATTTGCTTTTTGAAAACAAAATACTGAATCTATAGTACTTGAGTTTACTTTAAAACATTTGGCTCACCTCATTATTGTAATCCAGATAACGACCAGTTTATGAACCGTGTTTAAAACCATGTGAGTAAAATGTCTCATTAAAGCAGCCACCCATGTAAAATAGCCATGGGCTTTGATCTCTCTCCTAAGGCTGTTTTTGGCCTTAAATCCCACCAGCCAAGAGACTGCAGGAAGGAAACTGGTTCCTTCAACATGAACCAGACAGCAGAGGCACCAAGGGGCTGACTTCCTCTGCCTTAATCTCTCCCCTTTGTGTCATCGTCAAAGCCACATTCCAACAGCTACAAAGATAGTCTGAAATACGCCCCTGCAAAGTTAAGGTTCCCCTCCACTTAAATCAAAGTTAAGGTTCTCCTCCGCTTAAATCAAAGTTAAGGTTCTCCTCCACTTAAATCAAAGGTTCTCCTCCACTTAAATCAAAGTTAAGGTTCTCCTCCACTTAAATCAAAGTTAAGGTTCCCCTCCACTTAAATCAAAGTTAAGGTTCTCCTCCACTTAAATCAAAGTTAAGGTTCTCCTCCACTTAAATCAAAGTCCCCTCCACTTAAATCAAAGTCCCCTCCACTTAAATCAAAGTTAAGGTTCTCCTCCACTTAAATCAAAGGTTCTCCTCCATTTAAATCAAAGTTATCCTCCACTTAAATCAAAGTTAAGGTTCTCCTCCACTTAAATCAAAGTTAAGGTTCCCCTCCACTTAAATCAAAGTTAATGTTCCCCTCCACTTAAATCAAAGTTAAGGTTCTCCTCCACTTAAATCAAAGGTTCTCCTCCACTTAAATCAAAGTTAAGGTTCCCCTCCACTTAAATCAAAGTTAATGTTCTCCTCCACTTAAATCAAAGTTAAGGTTCCCCTCCACTTAAATCAAAGTTAAGGTTCTCCTCCACTTAAATCAAAGGTTCTCCTCCACTTAAAGCAAAGTTAAGGTTCCCCTCCACTTAAATCAAAGTAAAGGTTCCCCTCCACTTAAAGCAAAGTTAATGTTCCCCTCCACTTAAAGCAAAGTTAAGGTTCTCCTCCACTTAAAGCAAAGTTAATGTTCCCCTCCACTTAAATCAAAGTTAAGCTTCTCCTCCACTTAAATCAAAGTTAAGCTTCTCCTCCACTTAAATCAAAGGTAAGGGTGGCGGGATCCGCCTGAGGTTCCACCAGCAATGTCCAAAATCAGAGTTGCCCGCGTAGGTTTCCCAACCGGGCTGAATGAAGCCCCCTCCCCTCCTTTTCCTCCTTCCCCCTCCTCCACCGCTGCCGCTCTGTTGGATTTTAGGCTCGCCACCCTTGCAAAGAAGAGGGGTGTGCGCGCGCGTGTGTGCGTGTTGAACAACACGACCGGAGAGCCCCGCTTTTAACTCTTCAGGCCAAGGCTAAAAATACCCTCCCCCGCCAGCAACGAAGTCAAGAGATCAACTTTCTCCCCCCCCCCCGCTTCTCCGACAACTGCGCTCCGCTCCAAGATCCATTTTGAGAGCTCCGCGGCGGTCCCACTCCCCGGGCACCCGGGGCGGCGGGGAGAGGAGAAGCCACGAAGGGCCTTACTGCCTTGGAAAGCCATCTCCGCCCGCCTCGTCCTCAGCCTCCCGGTCTTCTCCGCCCGCGGCCGGGCCCGCGAGGTCCAAACGCTGCTGCTGCTGCTGCTCCGGTTGCTGCGGTTGATCCTCAGCCGCCAAAGCAGCATCGATTCCCGGGTCTCCTCGCTTCCCGGGCTGCGCCCGCACGTGCGCTGAGGGGGAGACCCGGGCGCCTTCCTCTTCCCAGCCTCCCCAAAAGCGAGTCCCCGCCGCTCTAAGCGGAGAGCAGCTGCGGGAGGGAAGGGGCCGCCGAGCCAGTCCGCCCGCCTCCTCTTCCTCCTCCTCCTCCTCCCGGCATTCTTCCGACCGGCCGGCGGAAAGGACCAGGCACCCCAGCCGGTGATTTGTCTTGGAAATGAGGGCACCGCTTGGAGCGTCGGGCGGCTTCGCCTCCCCTTCGCCTTGTAACTTGAAACGCGCGCCTGGGCTAAGCCTGCAGGCCTGGGACAGGCGGGAATCCAGCAAAAACGCGCATCAGCCCTCCAGAGCGGGGGTGGCTGGGTGGGAAGCGGCCTGGAGAGGTCTGCCCAGGTCGGAGGATTCCCAGATCCCTTTCTGATGGGAAGGGGGAAGGAAAAGGCTTCTGGGATCTGCTTTGTCTCCTGAAAGTCAGGGAAGGTCCGCCTCGCTGGCCAGGGAGTACACAACAGGCTTTGGGCTAATCATTAACGCCGTTGGCAATTTCCCCCTGGCAGGCAGCAGTGAAAAGGCAGAGGAGGGCACCAACTGAAAACTGTTGTCCAAAGGCGAGCAGGGAAGGTGTGGAGTAGCTCCGAGCTGGCTGGTGCACCTTTTTATTTTTATTTTTTTTTAAACTTTCAAGCCATTTCCCGTAATCGGTTCTGGCTCCAGGCCGCTTGTCCAGTGCTCTCAAAGTCCAGTTTTATAATTTAGGGTTGCCAGGTGTCCACTATTTGAGTGGACAGTCCACTTTTTTCACATTATGTTCACTATTTTTTTTTCCACAAAATAGTGGACATTTTTTTTTTTATTCAAAAGCTTTATGATGAAATGGTACGTAATCTAAAGCTGTACAGTCTACTTTTTTTACTACTTAAACACACACACCCCGCTTGTCCGCTATTTTTGGGAAGCAGACCTGGCAACCCTAGTTTTATTTCAAAGACCTTTCTTCCTTCCCCCCCCACCCCATGGCCGAATGAATTAAAAAAAAAAAGAAGGAATTGCCAGGACACCCTCTTTCTGGCTTCACACTTAGTCTTTCCTAAAAGTTTTTGAGATGCAAACAGGGGTGTCAGGGTTTTCTTGCAAAAGGGTTGATTTGGGTTGATTTGGTTTCTCTGTCAAACGCACACGGTGGTGGGTACGCCTTTCCCAGATTACGTTAAAAGGCCAGAAGTAGGATTTATCTTACCAAAACAAAAGGATAAAATAACTGCCTCTTCATATGTTTTCGGTCCTGCAAAAGCGGTGAAACCACTGAATATCTGTCCATCCCCTATGGAGCTACTGGGGGAAGCAGAGGTTGGCCCCCAAAACACCTACTTGAGCTTGACAGATATCAGAGAACCCAAGCAAGGTTGGAGCTGATTAGGAATTGGAGGAAGAGGTACTGGGAAGTTGAAGGCTTTTGACTAGATTGGGAAATTCTAAGAAAAGGACGGTATCAAACCAATTTTCTCTATCCTAACTGGATCCTTCAAGACTTCTAATGCTGCAGCTTTTGCCGCTGTAACCGGTTTATTTATTGAACTTATTCATCAGTATGAGAAAAAGTAGTGGGTGCTTAGTGGATTTAACAGAAAACTAGACTAAGGATAATATCGTGTCCATCTTTCAAGAATGGACATCTCCTCCCTTACTAAAAAAAAAAAACAACTTGGGTCTGAGTGCTTTGGCTCTCATATGGTGAGACCCATTGGGGTCTGCCTATGGGACTATTTTGCACTGCTGTCTCTTCTGTTCCAAGCACGGAGCAGCAATTCAAAGAAAAAGAAGGTAAGCTAGATTGAACTTTGTTCATGCTTAAATGGAAGCCAACCAGGAAATCCCAGGGCTACACTGTACATTCCAATGAGAAGGAAGGACTCACTGGAGAAGAGCCTAAATGCTGGGAAAGATTGAGGGCAACAGAAGAAGAAGGGGACGACAGAGAATGAGGTGGCTGGATGGAGTCACTGAAGCAGCAGGCGTGAGCTTAAATGGACTCCAGAAGATGGTAGAGGACAGGAAGGCCTGGAGGAACGTTGTCCATGGGGTCGCGATGGGTCGGACACGACTTCGCGACTAACAACAACAACAATACTGTACATTCGGCCACAGACCCTGAGAAATACTCTAGAAGACACCCATGGCCAATCCCAATTCTGTTATGAAAGCTCCCCAGATGTGTCCACTAGGTCACCATAAACTGCCCTTTACTTTTACCCCCTATTCAGCAGGCATTAAGGATGGACACTCCAAAATAACGTAGAAAGATCTGAACAAAAATGAAAACCTCCCTATTGTGGAAGTAACTGACACTGTTTTTCCTTATTGCCTGGCGGATTTATTGCCCTGCAAGAGATAGGCACCTTGCTCACCAACCTGTCTAGGTTCTCTATGATTCTAAGGCAAACATTGATAAAGACACAGTCGACTATTATTATGTATTATAGACGTGGCACCTAAGAAATGCTGCTTTGTTCTTCATATTCTCCAAGGATTTGGAACTCAGGGTTTTTTCTTCCTGTTGTTGGGAGGCTTTTAATACTTTTGTTTGCAAATATACAGGCTGAACAGGTTTTGCACCGTGCAGAAGCAAGTACCAAAGTTGGGCTGGCTTCCAAATAATATTACCTTGTCATTCCAAAACCCAAAATACATTTTTGTTATTCATCAAATATAAGCTTATCTCTTCACAACTCAGCTTTGCAAAACTCTCTGTCCTATCAATGTTGGCTCTTATCACCTTGCATTAATGGGCAACTCAAGACACCTTTCAACGTGGCAACCAAATAATCAATTAATAAATCACCTGCAATTGACAATGGACAGCTGTAGAGAAGATGTTTTTGTTCTTAATGAAATTTAACCAACATCAACTTAAGGCCTCAAAAGCAAAAACAACCGTGAAAGTCACTTTCTGTTTTAGGTTTTGTGTCTCAGCTCTTTTAAACTAATATCTCAGAATATGCAGTAAAGTTAAAAATAGCCCATATTTGTCCATCCATCCTCCCATCCATCCATCCATCTCCTTTCATGAACCCTAGCATGAAAGATTTGTGCTACTTCTCTAGAGAGACAGTCTGCTTAAAATATACATCCTTCATATTTATCAGTCTGATTAATACAATAATATAGAAATTTAATTTTACAAAAAAAAAAAGCAACAGCAGCTTAAGAGAACACCCCAAGAAAATTAATGGCAATTTGGGTTAAAAGAGTAAAGAAAGGGACCTGAACCAAATCAGAAGGTTATACCGAAAAACTGCAGTCGTTAAGGAAAGTCAGAGGTCATGAAGGCACTCTAGTAGCTAAGGAGAATTGACAAAGGTTAGTGAAAGAGGAGTTTGCTGCATATACACAAGTGTGTATGACTAGTGCTTTTCACCAAAGAAAACCTACAATGTCACTCCAGTTGTTTCAGGGTTTTAGCCACAAAGATAAAAACTGTCGATTGCTTGAAACAAATTGTTCCGCTCCATTGGCAGAGCGTGTCCGTTTGCGTGCAAAGTTTCAGTTGATACCTTAATAAGGAATTTCCCATAGTCAAAAGATGCACGGGATTCTTGGACAGTCCAAGATAATGTGAGAGAGTTGGACCAGGGTTAAAAATCTTGCCGAGTGAAGCACATTCCATCTAGGCTAAAGAAACTGCAGGTGTTGAAAAGTGGGAAGAAGTCACCTCTGCTGTTCGCGATTGACAGAACGAGAAATGCCACTGAATGCGGCTCTTCTCTTCATAACTACAGACAAACACGGCAAGTACTGTTGTTCTTGACGTGCTTCTCTAAAATATATTGTCGTTGCAAAACTGGAATCAGCCAGTCTGATGCAAACACTTCCCAGAACAGATCACTATTGCAAGACTCTTTGGAGATTGTGGAGAGGAGACAATTAGCACCTCAGTCTGAAGATGCACCCCCAAACACTCAGATACGGCCCAAACCTCTCGGTTTTCTGTTTATACAGGTACACTGATGCTGGTTGGGACTCCAGCTCTGAAATAAACCTGTGCAATGGAAGAAAAGAACAGGTCTGCTGGGGCCACCTCATCTATGGTGCTCCATTTCTTGGGCCCACAAATGCAGGACAATCATGCTAGATTCTTACATGCCCAGAAGAGTCTCTTTCTTGTAAAACTTTGCCCTCCAACAGGCAGAGGGAGGGGTGGGCTTAACAAAGGGCAAGACAGGTTCCGCTACCTGGTATATAGGAAAGAGAGAAAGCACTACTAGACGTACAAACCGTAGTGTATATGCAGCTTTGATAGGCGGCTTGTTAGGAGAAAAAGTGGAAACTCTGAAGGGCAGAGCCCACCGCAATTCAAGAGAGAAAAGGCGCCAGAAATACCTTCTTCGGCGTCTGACATATATTCACCGTCACTGAGAATTTCAGGGGCATTCGCTTTACATGCTGCACAATTCAAGTGAACAAAACGTTAGGCTCGTCTTACAAATCCAGGGAAACAATTTACCGTTGCAATTTTAACAGAAAAATCCCATGAAAAGGGGTCTTCTCAATCACGGGGGTCTTTCATGCACGTACCTTCATCATCAGACATGTCCAAAACTTCGTTCATGGTTTCCGGGACATTCATTTTATGTTTTTCTGTGACAGTCTGTTAAAAAGGAAGAAGCACCGTTTCGATTTAAAATGATCAGTAACGTTCTCTGGAAACTCTTGTAATAATAATCGACATGAAATAGTTTCCCCCCCTATTCCTTGCAGTATTTCATGTGCCTATTTTATCATTACAACAAATACTCAAAATGATACCGATGTGACTGTGTAGACCAGGGTTAGGCAACCTTGGCTCTTTTGTGACTCGTGGACTTCAATTCCCAGAATTCCTGAGCCGTCATGGCTCTGCTTGGAAACCTCTCCCTTTCCCCTCAGCATGGCTGGCTCAGGAATTCTGGGAGTTGAAGTCCAGGAGTCATAAAAGAACCAAGGTGGCCTACCCCTGGTGTAGACCAATCCTCTCCAGATGGGTCAGACTACAGTCCCCATCAACCCCCCCACTGTCTGAATACAATGCGATCTCTACTCCTACCTATTGGGGTATTTCTACATGGCTGCTTCCAGACAAGTCTACTGTAGCTACTTTCTGTTGCTTTCCTCAAAATGTTTTCTCTCCCTCCCCCCCCCCCATATACACACCATCTACTCCACAGCCCTGGGATTTCCTAATAAGCAAGGTCTGGGGCGGAGTGAAAAGACACACCCCCCCTCATTAGCCACAGAAGCACCCCAGGGATCTTGGGCCTGTTGGTTCCACCTAATCCAGGGGTAGGCAACCTTGGCTCTTTTATGACTCGTGGACTTCAACTCCCAGAATTCCTGAGCCAACATGCCTGGCTGAGGAGTTCTGGGTGTTGAAGTCCACGAGTCATAATAGGGCCAAAGTTGCCTACCCCTGACCTAATCCATGGGCTGATATGGGGGGGGGGATGCGAGGATTCTTATGTACTTCATTTTGAGCTTTCCCACCCCAAAAAATAGGGGGAGGGATATAAATCTAATAAACGATGAACGTTAAATTATTCGTTTCATGAGGGCTGAAACTAATTTGAGACAAAAGGAGGATATCGATCTGCCAATCAATTTGTTCAATATTTTTTTTCAAAAAAAAAAAATATTGAACAAATGTCATGCAGTGTTAGGAGAACACAACCTTCCCAATACGACTGGCTGCTCCTCGTTGTTTCAGCAGTTAATGTGTTCACTGCTCCCTTTCATCCGCTTCTCTTCATCCTTTTTACAGATGTTGCTGCTCTGCTTTCGGTTAATTCTTTTATTTTAAACCTGCCCTCTGTAAAATTATTTGCAAGCTGCAAGGAAACTCTATAAACCTAAAAATTATGAGGAACGTCTGAAACGGGTGAAAATAAAAGAGGAGGGAGCTGAGAGGGGTCTACAGTGAGCTTCCCTCCCGCTGAATTTTCATCTGCCTTCAGCACTTATTCTGCTAAGGCCCGAGCTCTCAGCTCAGATGGACGCTGTTCAGGCATGGGAACTTCTGCAGCCTGAAGTACACCAGCTAACCTCTTCTTATAACGAGAAAGGGAGGTCAGTCTCTTGAGTTGGACTGCAGGAAAGGTGGTGTAGAAAATTTCCCAGCCTCTCCAAAACTGCTCCCTTTGGATCTTTCCTGCTGCATTTTTAAGAAGAAAAAAAACCCCACCTGGAGAGGATTCTGTAATGGAAACCAGCTACCCTGAATCATTCTGAGGATCATCCCCCCAGCTCTGGTCTAAAAAGTGGATAGACTGCCTTGGCATGGAGTCAGATGCATTTCTAATAAAGGAGAATATTTGCAGTACAGGGTTGAAATGAGGGTCCTTGGTGCTCTATTGCAGATGCTCCATTACCCAAACTAGGAAACATCCTCAGGATAATGAAATCAAGATCACGTGAAGTGATCCCGTGAAGTGTTAATACCACTTTACAAGGCCTTGGTAAGGCCACACTTGGAATACGGCATCCAGTTTTGGTCACCACGATGTAAAAAGGATGTTGAGACTCTAGAAAGAGTACAGAGAAGAGCAACAAAGATGATTAGGGGGACTGGAGGCTAAAACATATGAGGAACGGTTGCTGGAATTGGGTATGTCTAGTTTAACGAAGAGAAGGACGAAGGGGGACATGATAGCAGTGTTCCAGTATCTCAGGGGCTGCCCCAAAGAAGAGGGAGTCAAGCTATTCTCCAAAGCTCCTGAAGGCAGGACAAGAAGCTACGGATGGAAACTCATCAAAGAGAGAAGCAACCTAGAACTAAGGAGAAACTTCCTGACAGTTAGAACAATTAACCAGTGGAACAACCTGCCTCCAGAAGCGGTGAATGCTCCAACACTGGAAGTTTTTAAGAAGAGACTGGACAGCCATTGGTCCGAAATGGTATAGGGTTTCCTGCCTGAGCAGGGGATTGGACTAGATGACCTCCAAGGTCCCTTCCAACTTTATTATTATTATTATTATTATTATTATTATTATTATTATTATTATTATTATTATTATTATTATTATTATTATTATTATATGTCTGCAAGAAAGCAACCAAGCTCAGAGAGCACCAAGGACCCCTCAGATGCTTTTCTGTTATGTTTTGTTTCTTTGGAATGACACAGCAGCTTCCAATGGACAGGGAGCCATACTTACAATTGTCGTCATTGTCTCTTCCGTCACTATTTTCAGCGTGTCGACAACAGAAATGTATCCCAGTCGTTTGGCAATGGCCAGGGCAGTGTTCCCATTCTAGAGAAGGAAAAGCTTCCTAAGAAGAGGGACTCCAGCAAATACTCCACTGGAGAGGCAGCTGGAAATCCAGCCTGCTTCCCCTTCAGGAACTTTTAGCTGACATCTACTAGGAGGGGTTAGTCTGAGGCTGTTTCCATGGGAAGCAAATGGAAAAGTAAAGTCTGGCTTGGACAACCAACCACTGCAGAGCAAACAGAGACAGTTGGGGTTATCGACACTCCATCTGTGACCAAGCTTATGAATTCTCAGAAAAAGGGATACTTGAAATGCACCGGGCAGAACGGAGAGGTGAGGAAAACACCAGGTTTTTAGGGCTGCCCTTCAAGCCTGGCTGAAAATCCAGACAGGAAAAACATCTCAAAGGTCCTGAGACGGGGATGACCGCCCTTGAGCTTCTCTGTGAAAGCCACCCACAGACAGAAGTCGGGGATGGTCCAAGGGCAATCTGCTTCTTGAGAACAAGGAGACCCTAGAACAGTGATGGCGAACCTTTTAGAGACCGAGTGCCCAAACCGCAACCCAAAACCCACTTATTTATTGCAAAGTGCCAGGGCCGCATCAGCATTGTGGTGCCTTCAGGGGGGGGCAGGGAGGCGCCTCTGAGTGCCGCCTCTGGCATGCAAAACCCCGGGGGCGCAAAAATGGACCACCATGCTGCAAGACGCAAAAACGGCTACCGCTGCGCCACAGGGTGCAGATAAAAGGTGCTGCACCACACAAGAAGGGGGCAGGGCTAGTGAGTATCACACAGGCACTAACCCTGCCCCATTTGCAGTACGTGCGTGCTCGTGGCCCCATGTGCGCATGGACACATGTAAAATGCTAGTCGGCTGCTTTGCCTCTTTTGTACTGGGTGGGGCTCCTGCTCCAGGCGGTGGTGGCGGCCTGATGGACCTGCTGCTGGTGGCGGTGGTGCGCGTGCCAACAGAGAGGGCTCTGAGTGCCACCTCTGGCACGCGTGCCATAAGTTCGCCACCACTGCCCTAGTACAAGTCTGCCATGAAGAACCCAGGCGACATGCAGGCTTATATAGGGAGACTTGAGCTGCATCCTTCCCTTTTGAAAACTCCAGAATTATGAACAGAAACAGAAGAGCAGCCATTAACCAGCCAAAGAGGAAGCCTGCCAAAAGTGGGACCCAAGATCTCTTTCCCCCCTCCCACACACACAATTTCTTACCACAGTGAGCTCATTGGGGGATGCACCGTTCTGCAGCAGGACGTTGATGATGTGGGTGTGTCCTTGTTGAGCTGCCTGGTGCAGGGGGGTGTAGCCATTCTAAGGAGAAGAAGAGTGAAAGGGGGCTGTTGCAAGAGACCCTCCAGGGACCCCCTCCCCATCCACACAGAGGAAGGGGAGACAACAGATGGGAAGGGGGGGTGGGGATCGGAGAAAAATCTTACCCTGGTTTTGGCGTTCACTTTTGCAAATTGCTGCAGAAGGAAATTGACTATCTTTATGTTTCCGTAGTGGCACCCAACGTGTAATGGAGTGTAGCCCATCTGAAATTAAATCCAGACAAAGGAAAGTGCAAAAAGAATGGCAGGATGATAAGTACGGCGCTATTAATAATAACGTAATGCATTTAAGCTCCAAGTCTTCTCCTCCACCCCACACCAAGGTGTAAAGTAGCTCCAGTTGTGTTTTTTAAAAAGGTTTTCAGAGAACGCATTGGCCCCAAAAGCAGATGGACCCAGTTTACGGAATCCCTATCATTATTGCAATGGGGCAGCAAAGAAAGGCAGCGGCCATATTTAATGAATACCCCAATGTCTGATTTTGTGGTGCTAGCTGGGAAGTTTGTAGGTTGGGAATGCTTCCTCGACCAGGTGGACCGCTGGACTTTGAGCCACGAGATCTGGATTCAAGTTCCCTTGCAAGTAGGAAGCTGAGCTAGAAGTCTCTATCACAACTATCCTATCTCATGGGGCAGTGATGGCGAACCTTTTAGAGACCGAGTGCCCAAACTGCAACCCAAAACCCACTTATTTATCGCCGGGTGCCGGGTGGGCGTGGCCCACTGGGTGGCCGTGGCCATGGTGGTCATGGCAGGCTGGGTGGGTGTGGCCAAGGTGGGCACGATCACCTCAATGTTGCTCATGGGGAGGGACGCCTGTGGGGGCTGGGCAGGGTTGGGGGAGATCCAGGGGGTCTCTGGCAGGTGGGGCGGTGGGTAGGAGGCTCGTCCTGCGGGGTGAGGCGAGGCAGGGCGGGGATGCTATTGTCACAGGGCAAGGTGAGGCAGGGGCCGGGGCAGCTGCTGCCTGACACTATCAGCCCCTACACACAGAGGTCAGTGCGCGTATGGGTGCTGGGATGCATCCGGCCACGTGGGACCTCGGCGAGTTAGCGGGTGGCTGGTTGAAGAGGGACGGTTGCCGTCTCCGGGGCACGGCATGCGTGCCCACAGAGAGGGCTCTGAGTGCCGCCTCTGGCATGCGTGCCATAGGTTCTCCACCACTCTCATGGGGTTATCACAAAGACTCACAAAATGAGAGGAGCCCGGCTGGACACATGGCAAGGGTGCTCACTTTTTGTGTGGCTCCTGTCGCAATGAACATATCTACTGACACTGTAGGGCTGAGGAAGCCCCAAGGATTGCATCACAATAAAAAATAGGGGGGGGGGAATCTCAGAGAGAGAAAAATCTGCTTGATCAAGAATGCTGATGACAAGAAGGAGCCCGGTGGTGTTTTCAGACATTTCAGGATCACCACAATTACCCTTAAAAGTCACGAGCAATTTAAGCCTTATCGTTTCCATCAAGATAATGTTATTTCTCCTTTCGAGACAGGTGCTTATTTAGCAGAACTGAGCTGGGAATGCATGACAGGGACAGTTCACAAAAGAGTCAAGGTAATGTGATCTTTTCTGATGTACAACTGCATAGCAAATAAAAGCTCTCCGGGGGCCCTGGTTGCACACATTCTCACACCTCCTCCTTGAGACACAAGTGCTTACTTATTAGACACATGTTAGTATGGAGCTGTTTACTCACTTGACAACAGACATATGCACTTATATTCACATTTTCAGGGTGGCATCTACTGTTTGTTTTTAAAGCACAGGGATATTCCTATGACACAAACCAACAGGATCTACTGAGATCCTGCCAGCTAGCAGATTTTGCTTGATAGAGCCAAGCAAGGATGAGAAACCAAGCGACCCAGCATCTCTGGATGGAGATCAGATAGTCTACAGAGAACTTAGCAGGAGGCCAACAAGCATTTGCTTTTATGTACTAAGTCCTGTTGCCATCATCATCCCAGCTCTTGGAACATGGTCTTGGTTTGAGAATCAGCCCAGAATTTATTTGAGGTATTGCAACACCATCCGGAAGATTTAAGCAAAATGTGGCCCACAGTCCTTCAGGAAGATTGGATCCTGTTGTATCTTATCTTGTTTAATAACAAATAGCCTTTTACATTGCACTGAAAATGTGGGGAACATTAGAAGCGCATAAAACAGAACTAACTGCCCTGTCCAGATATTATTTCAGCTTAATTCAGCCAAAAGGTGAATATTTAGGCCGTTAACTTAGCCCAGGGGCAGGCAGCCTTGGCTCTTTTATGACTCGTGGACTTCAACTCCCAGAATTCCTGAGCCAGCGTGGCTCAGGTTGGAAACCTCTCCCTTTCCCCTCAGCATGGCTGGCTCAGGAATTCTGGGAGTTGAAGTCCACGAGTCATAAAAGAGCCAAGGTTGACTACCCCTGACTTAGCCCCTCTACTCTTTCCTTTACAGCAGGGGTAGTCAACCTTGGCTCTTTTATGACTCGTGGACTTCAATTCCCAGAATTCCTGAGCCAGCTTAGCTGGCTCAGGAATTCTGGGAGTTGAAGTCCACGAGTCATACAAGAGCCAAGGTTGACTACCCCTGCTTTACAGGATTGATTGATGGAGCATATAAGACCCAACAGAAACCACAAAATGAATTAATCTTCCATTCCTTATCATTTCCTTTCTTTCCTCTACACGAGGAAACATAATAAATGAAATTACACTTGACTTGGTTATTGAGTTCGCCAGTTGGTGGGTTCAAAACGCAATGAATTGCGAGCTAACCAAACAGGTTGAATTTACCTCACAAGAACCCAGTCAAGTCTAATGCTAAACAAATTGAACATGTCCCTGCAAATAAAGCCACTAGTAAATACGATGTGCAAACACAGCCCTTGCGCACAGTTCTGTTTAACTGTACATCATTTTTGGCAGAGGAAATTTAATTTCCAGATTGTTCAGGGGAAGGCAAAGCATATGTGGTGCCATCTTGTGATACAATTACATGTAACAGCTACACGAATGGCTTCTTACAGGGGAACCCCAGGTATGGAGAGCCAATTCTGAGCACACCTTTTCATTCTGATCTGGCCTGAATCAAAGTCCTGCTTCTTGTATGTAGGGGACTCTCGGCAAACCTTGATTGTCATTCTCTGTGCCAGGTAAATCATTCAAAAGAATGCAATGAAAACAGCCCTAAATGTTGCAGCAATGTCCCCATTTTTGAGATGGCATTTCAGACCCAAACAGTTTTGAGATATGCTACTACTTCGTGCCCTTTCCTTTAGGACTATTTTGCTTTACAGTTAGCACTAAGTAAGCTAACAGGGTCCCATCTAGGCTTCTAATTAAATTGCCGGTGCAATTTAATGGGTGTGTGTGTGTGTCAGGAAATGCTTTTAAAAAATGATTGACTGGAGACACTGAATGTGCTGGAAAGAGGCAGTAGAACAGGGAACTGAAAGTGCCACCACCACCACCTCCTCAAGAAGGTAGGCTGACTTGGAACAGATCCAGTTCCCAGCTGCTTTCCTAATTTATTTGTGCCTAAATGTGATGTGTTTAAGTGTGAGATTTCTCCTCTGTCTGCCTGTTTTTCCCTCCATGGATTTTGCTGCCGCAGGGCTGCCGTACCAGCACGCCACCTTTTATGGCAGGGTAATCAGCTTCCTGACCTTTGATAAGAGGACAAGGGCAGGTAATTATTACTGCAGCAGGCTTTTTTCCACTTCCAAAATAAAGAGCCCGGAAACCCTTTCATCAGAATAGCTGGCTGGGCTGTCTGTTATTATGTCCGCAACAGATCCTCGGTCCTTCTCTGAGCAGGAAGGCAGTGAGACCACACAGCTTGCCTTCATCCAGCTATGCAGTTGGGCCTCCTGTCCAGAAGGACTCTGGTTTTTAGGTTTTTGGTTGTGGTTGTTATTGTTTTTTTAAGGATAGAGAGAAATGAAGGCAAGCATCTTCCTTCACCTGATCAAAAGGAAAAAAAATTATCTACTCTAAAACAAGATCCACGCCTCCCAATTTGAGAAGTTCCCCCAGCCTGCCTTCTGCATCCACATTTTTGGGCCAGGAGTCAACAAGCTTCTTGAAGAAAAACAAGCAAAAAAAATCTGTTGCTGCCTCTTTCAACTCCTTCAACCTGCCGAAGATTTAGGGCTGCACCTCCCATAGGCCTCAGCCAGCCAGGGGAACGACTGTTATGATAATGGAAGTTGTAGTCTGAATCTCCTGTGACTGATTTGTTTTTTTGAAGCAACCTAGAACTAAGGAGCAACTTCCTGACAGTTAGAACAATTAACCAGTGGAACAACCTGCCTCCAGAAGCGGTGAATGCTCCAACAGTGGAAGTTTTTAAGAAGAGACTGGACAGCCATTTGTCTGAAATGGTGTAGGGTTCCTGCCTGAGCAGGGGGTTGGACTAGATTGACCTCCAAGGTCCCTTCCAACTTTATTATTATTATTATTATTATTATTATTATTATTATTATTATTATTATTATTATTATTATTATTATTATTATTATTAATGTCACATGCCTCACAGCTAAACAGGTCAATCAATTCCAAAGCAGAAGAGTGAGTCTAGGGTTGAGGGAGGCAGAGTGTGGAAATGAGGCATTGTGGTAGAAATGAGAAGGACCATCCATCCACAATCTGATGAGATCAGACACACAAAAGAAAGGCCCAGAAAGGAGTCCATAGGCAGCTGGCCAGGCACCAGAGGAGATCTGATCAGCTGCATCCAGGATCCCACCCATCTTCTATGGTGTAACATTTATTTATTCGTACCTTTATTGAACAAAGGTGCTTTGGCACAAGAAATAATTCCCAAGTCAGAAAGAGCGGGGGGGGGGGGCAGCTGGTTTTACCCATGTTAATTTGCCTCTTCCGGGGTGGTTTAAATACGATCTTTCCACAAATCCTACCTTAGTGGGTGCATCCACCACAGCTCCTTGGTTGACCAGCACCTCTGCAACGTTGATTCTGTCCTCTTGGGCTGCCAAGTGCAATGGAGTCAGGCCACTCTGCAAATCACACACGGCAAATCAGGTTTTGGGCAGGAGGATCTGATCAGAAGCATCAGGGCCTGAGTTGAATGCCCAGCGAGGCCGGGCCTCTCCTCCTGAGCTTAACAAGAGGTCAGCAGAAAATGCCCACAGGGTGCTCAATACACATTTCAACCACGTTACGTCCAATTACACAACTAAAGACTGAAAAAGGAATAGATAGTGCAGGAACAAGTCAGTTGCCATGCTTTATAAAGCGAGTACTATTGTTTGTGTTGGGGTAAAATATAGTGTAAGATACTGTCTTGCTGGTGTAGCACAACTACTCCAGGGGCCCTTTCCCCAAGGCTTACCCATCCTGAACATTAATTTGGCATGTAGAAAACTAATCAAAAAGATGCTATGAGGTTCCTTTTCAATGCCGCATTTTCCTACAACGGAAAAAGACCATTCGTAAGATCTCAAAGGTGCGCAAAGAAACAACTGCACTTTTTAAGAATGATACCACAGGCCCATTGAACGCCTGGCCCGAGCAATGTTTTATCAACCACAATCCAGTTTTGTTCCATCGTACTTGGTCTTCTGCAAGTCTCGGAGCAGAAGAAACGTTCCTGCTATCAGATCGGGTGGCCCACATGATTTGGCTACGGGGCTTCTTTTGGCTGTGTTTTTTTTGGGGGGGGGGCAACTGTGTGATGTCCAAGGCAACAGGCCGCAATTTTCTCACTTCATCTCATGCACGTTTTGTATTAATTCAGTGAAGATTAACTGGTTAGTTTGCATTTAGTCAACTCCGTGTGATGATGGTCTGTGGTTCTACAGTGAACTTGCAATAGATGTAATAGAACTACTGGAGTTTACAATATCCCTGTAATTCAGTCCTATGATTCAGAAGCAGGACATAAAAATACAGAGAGGTGTAAGAGAATCTATCTATCTATCTATCTATCTATCTATCTATCTATCTATCTATCTATCTATCTATCCATCCATCCATCCATCCATCCATCCATCCATCCATCCATCCATCCATCTATCATCTGTCTGTCTGTCTGTCTGTCTGTCTGTCTACCTACCTACCTACCTAACCTATCTGCCTGTCTGTCTGTCTACCCTATCTACCCTACCTATCTACCCTCTCTCTCCCCCCCCTCTCCCTTATCTTATCTTATCTTATCTTATCTTATCTTATCTTATCTTATCATCTTATCTATCTATCTATCTATCTATCTATTTATCTATCTATCTATATATCTATATCTGTATATCTATCTATCTATCTATCTATGACTGATAGCACTTATCTATCTATCTATCTATCTATCTATCTATCTATCTATCTATCTATCTATCTATCTATCTATCTATCTATCTATCTATCATCTACCAGGAGAGAGAGAAAGAACTAAGAGAATCTGATAGCAGCTTATTAAACTTTTTTATATCCCTTGCAAAGTTCAACATTCAGGATTCACGTGACTCTCCTATGCCAGGCAGGGCTATATTTGTCCCGGATCACAGTTTTCACGATCCTCTCCCACCAGCATTCACACCATTAAATCTGGCTTGCAAGCTATTCCACATCCTCGTATAGGGCAGAGATTGAATGTCATGCAAAACTCATGGTCACGGAACAAGATTCCCCGTGGACTATGGAGTTACTATGGACAACGGGCAGCAGCACAATACCGCCCAGCCAGGGCACTGGAGAGTACGGAATCTCTCCACACAGCCCACATACCTTGTTGCTGAGATTCACGTTGGCGTTTCTGGTGAGGAGCAAGGAGACCATGTCCATGTGACCCTCTTGGGAAGCCAGATGCACAGGAGCAATGCCTTGTCTGGTCACGGCATTCGCATCAGCGCCGTATTCCAGCAACGTGGTTGCTATGTCCATCTGGTTCTTCTTGGCAGCGATGTGCAGCGGAGTGTAACCATTCTGTCAAGGCAAATATCTTTGGTTATGGGCTCTTTCATTAAAAAGGAGTGGAGCTATTATAACTGGCGTTTGCCGGTGAGGATTTCTAAACCTTTAACTACATACTTTCTCTTGTATGGGACAAAAAAGATTTTTTTTTCCTTTTTCAAGGAAATTACGCAATCTCCACCTCCCTCTCCACCCCCTATAAGTAATATTTTTTTTCTGGCCCTTTCTTGGTGATTCCCAAGACAATCACGTTGCCTGGAAATGCCTTTGTCGATTTTCCTTATACTTTCAGCTAAGAAAAATCACTAAGGAAAGAAGAATCAGTTTTAATTAAGAAATATTCTTCTTTTTTAAAAAAAAAATTTAATAAACTTTTATTGAGTAAACATTTAAAAACAGGTTGAACACAATGTGGCTTTTCTGGCTGTTATTTTGCCATACATACTATATACCATATACCATATACCCTATATCTCCCTATTCACTGATCTTTTATACCATTTACATATTGCATTTTATACTATTTACATGTTTATATATTTACATACATATTTACGTCTATTTACAACATAACTTCCATTTCCATTCTTATTTCATATTCTTTCTGATCCCTATCTTATGCTCACTTTGAGGTTGAAAATCTACACTTTCTCTCTTCTAGATGAGCGTTCTCTGTTCTGACTTTTTCTCCTCGAGTCTAACCAATAGTACATCTTATCCCAAACTTCATAATACTCTGTTTCGTCCTTGTCTTTAATTTCTAATGTTAGTCTATCCATCTCTGCACATATCAAAAAATTTATTTAATTAGTTCACTCTCCACCGGGGAATTTCCGTTTTTCCAGTTCTGGGCATAGACCAGTGATGGCAAACCTTTTAGAGACCGAGTGCCCAAATTGCAACCCAAAACCCACTTATGCATCGTCGGGTGCCGGGAGGGTGTGGCCCACTGGGTGGGAGTGGCTGTGGTGGTAATGGCAGACTGGGTGGGACTAAAAAGTTCAATCAATCAATTCTAACTTTGCAAGATCTTTCCCCCCCCCCCGCAAGAAGTTGAAATTGATTGATTGAACCTTTTTTTTTTTTTTGTACACGGCGGCGGAGGCCTAAAGCGAAAAGGTTTTATAAAACCCAGCTGAAGGCCTAGGACTGGGCACGCGACGGTGCGCGTGCCCACAGAGAGGGCTCTGAGTGCCGCCTCTGGCACCCGTGCCATAGGTTCGCCACCACTGGCATAGACCAACCTGGCTGCTGTTATAATATGCAACACTAGATATGTCTCTCCTTTGTTAAACTTCCCATCTATCCTTTCCAGTACAAACATTCTTGTGGTGCCCAACCTCATTCTCCCTTTCCTCCTCTTGTAAAAAACATAATCTGAAGATTGGAAGCAATTCCATTAATATATTGAAACTGGCAAGGGTGTCTGTAGGAGCTCGGATGGGGACTGGGAGATGAAGAGAACCTTCTGAGATGTTAGAACATGTTGAAGCAGAACCCTGGATAGGGTGAGGGTGATGTCACAGGGCATCTTCCAGTGACACAATGGAGGCATTCTCTTCCCCCTCTTCCATCAAGGGAAGTCGTGAAACTAAGGTAGATGTTGCCTGGATTCTACCCTGGAGATCACAATCTGTCCAAAGACAGACAGATGTGGCCATTTCCTCACCTCTGCTGAACTAAGAGTTTGGGAAAAGCTTAACTGCTCTCTGGAAAGGAGGATTTGCAAAAGGGAGATATGACTAGGGAGGTGGTCTGAAAAGGGGGGAAAAAGAGAAATATTGGAGGAGGGACATAAAACTTTTAAAAAAATACAAAAAAGAAGATTTTTAATAAGTGCAACATTAGGAAAGCGGAAATATGCCCCTCCTCCCACTTTACCCCCCCTCTGGGTCTCCTCATCTCAGGAGAGGATAGAACAATTATCAAGCAAAAGTCCACAATTTCATTTTTAGATTGTTTGGGTAGCTGCGTTAAAAATAAAAACATAAGTCAGTCAGTAAGTCATAGCCTGTCTCTTAACTGTGGAGATGCATAAGCTCGCTAGAAAACAGAATAACAACTCAACTACAACCTTCTCTGTTCACAGACTCTGGATGACTTTCTGATTCTAGGACCCGGTTGTAGAAGAAAAGACAGATTAAGAAGCTGGGATGCTGGCACTGCACCGTCTAGGCACGAATAACTGAGAAAATTCTCCAGGAAAGTTACAAATGGCATTTTAAAGCCAGCAGATATTCTTGCATCCTATTTGCTCCTGGGGAGGAAAGCTATGGCAAATCTAGACAGCATACTAAAAAGCAGAGACATCACCCTGCCAACAAAAGTACGTATAGTCAAGGCCATGGTTTTCCCAGTTGCAATGTATGGCTGTGAAAGTTGGACCATAAGAAAGGCTGAGCGCCAAAGAACTGAGGCCTTTGAACTATGGTGCTGGAGAAGACTCCTGCGAGTCCCCTGGACTGCAAGGCGATCAAACCGGTCAGTCCTAGAGGAGATCAACCCCGACTGCTCTTTAGAAGGCCAGATCCTGAAGTTGAAACTCAAGGACTTTGGTCACCTAATGAGAAGGAAGGACTCCCTGGAGAAGAGCCTAATGCTGGGAAAGATTGAGGGCAATAGAAGAAGGGGACGACAGAGAAGGAGGTGGCTGGATGGAGTCACTGAAGCAGTAGGCGTGAGCTTAAAGGGACTCCAGAAGATGGTAGAGGACAGGAAGGCCTGGAGGAACGTTGTCCATGGGATTGCAATGGGTCGGACACGACTTCGCAACAACAACATTTGCAGAACCTGATTTTGGCATAAAGCTGTGGCTGTTAGTTATACAGACTGGTGCGTATTTAGAGTTGAGCTGCATTTTTTCAATATTGTTTTCGTAGAGCAAAAAGAAAATGTTTGACAGGGGGGAATGACAGACCTCCCACCCTCCAGCCGATGAAGACAACTGGAGCAGGAGAAATCCTTCCTTTCCAGAGAAAATATTGAAGAAAACCCTTCAGCCAATGTGGACATCTGCTCGGTTCTTAGCTGACTAGTGAACAGCTCTTGGAAGGCCCTTCCGTGACCGAAGCTGATCTCAGCTCAGTTTTGTGACTTTCAGGAGGCCTTTGACAAAAATGGCCCATAGGCAGCTGCTCAGGCATTGGATCAAAGGTGAAGGAATCCAGGGAGCCAACCCATAATTTCTGGTTTTCTCTCAAGTCTGTCATTTTGTCATTTGGGCTATAGTGCAGCTGTTGGCTCAGGGGAAGAAAAGAGAAGTGCTTGCTCTATGAAAAGATATTTTTTCTGCGTCAAGCTAAGGCGACATCCTGACTCCGTGAAAATGTGTTATTTCTTGTTATTGCACCCAGTGATAAGGCTTTGGAACTCAGACCTACTTCAGAAAAGGACCAGACATCTAATTGTTTCACCATTCAGATGGAAGCAATCCCAAGGAAGCCCCTTTGTGCCAGTTTTTTTATTCTCTGAACAAACCCTTAAAACAGGCTTTTGCAACGAGAAAGCCCATTGGTCCAAAACGAGGACATGATGACACTAACAACCCTAACCCCGGTGGACCAAGGAATGGCTGCTTTGTCTTACAGCTTTAGGACAATATTTATAAAATAACTTATGTTTCTCGAGGCAGTTTGGAACCAGAGAGAAAGAGAGAAGCCTGTGGGTTGTAGATTACTTGACAAAGATATCCACACATTTGCTTTGGGCGTAAACCCCTGAGCGGTGTGCTATAGGTCCTCCCTTGATTTGCAGGCCTCAAGATTGATTGTTAGGTTTCCTCCCGCCCCATCTTATCACAGCTCACCTTAACTCACAACTGGTATGTGACATTTTCCCACTAGGGTCATTTGGATTTGAGTCAGCAAGCTGTAGCCTACGAGTTTTTGAGTCCGGCACATCTTGGAAATGGCCACGTCCCCCAAAACATCACTCCATTGGGCAATCAGGGGACTTCTGCCCCCCATCTTCCCTTTTAAGTGGGCCACAGCAGAGCAGTCCCCAGAGGAGGAGAGAAGAACAATTCATCCACCATCTCTCAAACTCCGCTCCATAAATTCAGTTCTATTAAGACTGAAGGGTCTTTCTGACGTGTTTCTTTTTCTGTCTCAACAGCCTAAGTGAGCCCACCACAGGAATTTTACCAGGGATTTAAAGAACACAACATTTTGTATTAATGGTTTCATTTATTCCAAGAGTCTTGCTGGATCGGATTAAGATCAAAATTCTACGTCCGCTTCTCCAGGAGCGAACGTTAGCGACCCTCTCTGAGAAAGCACGTACAGGACTGCACTGAAATACAGAGCATCAGAGGTTGGGTTCGAATCCACGTTCTGGAATTCGGATTGTTATCTCATGGGCAGAAATCAATTTCCACGTTTGCCAAGTTTCCACCGTATGCAAACAAGTTGCCGGCATTTTCCACTTCAACCTTTCCAATCTCTAATCAATCTACACACAGGTTGCCACACAGATACTGATGAAAGTGATAAACAACCATGCAAGGGTCTTACCTGACTTTTTCTGCTTAACTCTTTCCTTTCCTTTGACATCAAGAAACAATCGAAAAAAAGGAGCCCATTCAAATTACACATTTGCCCTCGTGGAGGAAGAAACGAAAGCAGGGTAGCCCTGAAGCTCAAGAATCAATGCTACTATTCACACAACACATTTAATCAGATGAGATCTAGCCAAAGGACTCCTTGCCCATATCTTTACTTGGTCTGATTTCAACTTTTCTGGGTTAGTGCGTTATACAAATCCAGCATGCCAATGGAACTCAGAAAATCGATAAATAAGCTAACACATTAAGCGTGTTGTGTGAATGTTGCCAAAGTATTTTAGAAACGGATATCTCCCTTGATGCTGTGTGAAAAAACCTGAAGGAACTCTGACACTTCCTATTCTTCACCTTCATGGAGACTCTCTGTAATACTGACACAGGAAATCTGGATACACTACTATTTACACGGAATCCTACATTATCTAGGTCGGGGTAGGCAACCTTGGCTCTTTTATGACTCGTGGACTTCAACTCCCAGAATTCCTGAGCCAGCCATGCTGAGGGGAAAGGGAGAGTTTCCAAGCTGAGCTATGCTGGCTCAGGAATTCTTGGAGTTGAAGTCCACGAGTCATAAAAGAGCCAAGGTTGCCTACCCTTGGTCTAGTGCAGAGGTAGGCAACCTTGGCTGTTTTATGACTTGTGGACTTCAACTCCCAGAATTCCTGAGCCAGCCATGCTGAGGGGAAAGGGAGAGTTTCCAAGCTGAGCCATGTTGGCTCAGGAATTCTGACCATCTAACCTAAGGGTGCCCAACCTTGGCACCTATAAGACCCGTGGACTTCAACTCCCAGAATTCCCCAGCCAGTCCTTCTGAATTCTGAGAGTTGAGGCCCACAAGTCTTAAAGTTGCGAAGGTTGGATATCCCTGATCTAATCCATCTCCTGCTTCGGATCATCCTATGGTGTCGTTAGAGGAGGCCCAGCAGGGCCTCCAAAGGAAGGGAAAGATAGAAGGTGTGGCTGCACAATCACCCCACTCAATGGCATCGGTACCTTGGCAGAGGCGTGAGGAGAGGCTCCTTGGTCCAAAAGGAGAAGTGCCACTTTCTGATTATCGTAATGTGCCGCAACATGCAATGGAGTTAAACCACTCTAAAAACACATGCAGAACAAACAGGCATGGTTAGAAACCCACTTTACAGAAACACTTGAAGAATTAGGTTCAACTAGGTTGGATGAGGTTTATGGTGGTATTAACTGAGATTTTTGAAATGATCATCAACAACAACACAAGATGCAACACAACACACTGATTTGGACGGGAATGCTCTTCACGCTTTTGAAGACGTCAATTTTGCCGACCTGAATAACTATCCTCCCTGATCTCTTACAGACTATGGATCAGAAATATTGATTCCTACTTTATTTACATGATTCTTAAGAGTTACGTTGTTGTTGTTGTTGTTTTCAGCCCTTTAACAGGGAATGTCTCTTTACCGAAATCTCTTGATAGACACATTCAAACCAGCCTATCAAGATTAAAGTCTATTCCGGTCTCAATCACGTCTTCCATCATCTAATTAAAATGACTCTCGTGTGCATATGCAGCCATGAAAACTAAAGTTGGTAAATTTTGCCCAAGATAGATCATTCATATTTCATGTGAACATTATGAGTGGTCCTCATGTGCAAAATAACACCATCAAAGATGTGTCTTTTAGTAGAAAGCATGTTGTGCTCAGCTAGAGTGGAGATGAGCCCACCATTGGTAGACTTGAAATGACATGTTAGGGGATAGATTGTCCTGGGGAAAAAAAATCCATCTCTGTGGTCACTACTGTACATGCAGTAATATGTAACAATAAAACAATTTGATGGCACATACAGTAGTGGCCAAACTTGTGGAAACCTTTTGGGAAAAGTGTACAGTAGAAATGCTACCTCTGGTTAAGTTTCCACCAAGTTTTCTTCTCATTTCTTTATAACTGGTAGCCTTGTTCACTTAATAAGACTATTTTACATCGCTTTCTGGGCGACCAGTCAACTCTTTGCACCATGACTTTAATTTTATTACGTTTTACAAGCTCACTAAAGGAAAGAACACAAAAAAACCCAATCAACTTGACAGCGATCACATAACACACTGACAAACGTCCTCCTCTCAGCTTCAATACAGGACATCAATAACTGAATCCTACTGTGATCTGATTGGCTCATTGGCAAAACAAGATGATACCCAATTGGCTCTCTAAACACTTGTGCTCATTGGCTACAATCGGATGAAGGAAAGCTACCTGATATCAACCTAAGCAAGTTGTGCTTCCTTTTTCTGGTTATTTGGCTATAATTTTTCACAGAATACAGTACAGATAATTGAACAAGCTATGTTGCCTTACATTCTTGATTAAATTATCTTTCCATTGATATATAATTTTAGGGTACTCCTCCAAAACAAAGTGGTGTTATTAGCCATCAAACCTCAAAAATACACTTTTCCCAAAAGGTTTCCACAATTCTGGCCACTACTGTAATCAATCCATCAAGGTTTTGTGGAGTAGAAGAATATCCTCAAGGAATCAATACCGCTTTTTCAGGAGAAACCAAGATCTTTTGCAATACTACATGGACGTGATGGAATAGGAAAAATACCCCAGTGAGATCCTAATGTTCTCACCAGTTGATGGCTTTGGTGGATGCTAGAACGACCACGTGGAAGCAACATCTGCCTTACCTTTCCAGCCGCATCTGGAGAGGCGTTTTTCTGAAGTAGGAGGTTGGCAACTTCTATTTTGCCGTATTTTGCTGCCACGTGTAGAGGGGTAAATCCTTTCTGCAAGATAAACATTTGCATTAACCATTTTATTTGAGGCAAAGGCCATTTTGGCAGAACCCAGGCGCAACTGAAGAGGTTGTCTTTCTGTGTCACAGCAGAATCGAATGTGCCCTTCCCAGCTACGTGTGGACCTGGAAGGGACGCAAGGATCTACTTTTCTACAATGCACAAGGAAGCCAATTAAATCACTGTGTTTTTCTTTTGAAAGAACTTTCAAATTCTTTTGAGTTTTCCAAAAACTCTGAAAGCACGGCTCCAGGGATAGGACCATGAAATTTGTAATGTCAGATCTTGAGTGGAGCCTTCCTGTTATTAGCAAAAGAAATATAACTTACGCAGGTCGGTAAAAAGGCAAAATAGAACTCGCTCTAATTTCCATCAAATTCAAAATCGGCAAGAGTAATTCAATAATCGTAATTTTCTGCTTAAAGAAGTAAAATAACACAGCCTGTGTAAAAAGGCACCATTTTGACAGAAAACAAATCGGTTTATCCTGAAAACAAAAATAATCAAAGGCCGCTAGGATGATACCCGGTCTGCATAAACCGTTTGAACTACTCCTTGGATAATACTTTATCGTGGGACACTTCGAATGTAGAGATCACTGCCTCCTTTTCAGGACCTAAGTACATACAGATGAACTTCGCATGCACAAATTGTCCTCTTAAATATTCATTGGTTGAATATTTTCCTCTTTTATTTTCTCAACGGTGTACAGAGTTGGCCCATTTGGCCCAAGTTACTTTGTATGGCTGTGAAAGTTGGACCACAAGAAAGGCTGAGCACCAAAGAATTGAGGGCTTTGAACTATGGTGTTGGAGAAGACTCCTGCGAGTCCCCTGGACTGCAAGGCGATCAAACCGGTCAGTCCTAGAGGAGATCAACCCCGACTGCTCTTTAGAAGGCCAGATCCTGAAGTGGAAACTCAAGTACTTTGGCCACCTAATGAGAAGGACTCACTGGAGAAGAGCCTAATGCTGGGAAAGATGGAGGGCAATATAAGAAGAAGGGGACGACAGAGAATGAGGTGGCTGGATGGAGTCACTGAAGCAGTAGGCGTGAGCTTAAATGAACTCCAGAAGATGGTAGAGGACAGGAAGGCCTGGAGGAACGTTGTCCATGGGGTTGCGATGGGTCGGACACGACTTCGCAATTAACAACAACAATAACAACTTTGCTACTTGAAGTTAAGGACCTGATGCCTCCAGGCCCCCGTTCCAAGCACAGAAGCCAACTGGAGTAGAATGGCGACCTTGGGTGTGGGATCCTCCACTGCCTTTGAAGAAGGATGGTTGTTCAAAATGGCTGAAAAGCTGTTCCTGTTGCCCTTTCCCAACCAGACACGACCCCTTCTGCATTACAAAAAGGTCAGCCCTGATTCTAAGCCAACGTTAGACCGGCTCTGAATTAAAGGGATAATTCACAAGTTGCGCTCTGGAGAAGTTTCAGAGTGAGAGAGTTGAATTCTATGGGCTGCTCTCTTCCTGAATGCCAAGGAAATTCATTCCCAAGTACACCTTTTCCGAAAGTAGAAAAGGAGGCTAATATACTATGTTCATATACTCAGGGGGGGAAAAAAGATCAAAATCATGCAGACAATGATTTCCTTGTGAGCCTCTATGCAAACAGGAATTGGACTTTGAAGAGGGATAAAAAAAGAGTATTATGCCTTTGAACTTTGATGTACAGGAAACTCCTGAGAACACCACGGATGGCCAAGAAATCAAACAAGAGGATCATTGAAAAAATTAATCCAGAATACTCACTCAAGGCACAAAAGATCAGGCTGAAGTTATCCTATTCTAAATGGTGTAGGGTTTCCTGCCTGAGCAGGGGGTTGGACTCGATGACCTCCAAGGTCCCTTCCAACTTTATTACTATTATTATATTAACTCTGGAGAAGCCTTTAATTCTGAGAATGGTAGAAAGAAAAAGAGAACCAGCTGCAAAGTGGAGGGACTCCATTATAACAGGGAAGAGGGCACCATTGGAAAACCTGAAGACTAGGCTGGGCAGAACAATCTGTCTCTGGGGTTGCTATGAGTCAACAGTGACTTAACAGCACTCAATCAATCAGTCAATCAATCAATCAATCAGGCAATCAGTCAATCAGTGGGCTTTTCCATGGGAAAAACAACATATTTCTTACTTGCTAGAATTACACATCTTTCTATCTACTTATTCAGCATCTTATAGAAAAACTCCAGAGTCCTGAAACAGTCAACTTGACCTTATTTGATAGATTGTTGGCCCAGAGCAATAATTCTACTGGAATCAATGTCATCCCCAGAGACATAATGGTGTTTTGACAGGGATCTGTTCTCCAAGCTTGCTGTTTAGCTCCCAGATGTTTTATTACCAAACTAGCTAACACCTTCAGCAGGTTTTTTTGGGGTGAAGTGTCTTGCTCATTTATATAGGTCCTGAGTGGTTGGGTGGTCTTGTGACTGGTTGAACCATAAGAGTGATTGAGTCACAGCCAACCTTGTGACTCATCCAAGGTAAATGTTCTTACCTTGGTAATGATACTCAAGGATGCCCCGTGGTCCAAAAGGACGGATGCCACATCTTCATGCCCTTCTCGTGCTGAAAGGTGCAACGGGGTGTACCCGGACGTTGTAGCAGCATTTGCTGAGGCTCCTTGCTGTAACAGCTGCTGGACTATATCGGCTTTGCCCAGACGCGCAGAAATGTGCAGTGGCGTTTGGTCATCCTAGAAATGGCAGGGAAAGAGTAAAACACAGCAAATTCCACGTTGGGGTTCGAGTGTGCAGTCCTTAGAACCCATGGAGGAAAGTGGGAGAACCTCAACAGGGGCCTGGATAAATTAAAACGGTGACTCCAAAACCCTCAGTTCTGACTGGAAGATCATGTCAAGCGAGATAATGTTGGAAAGGATCCCTGGCCATCCAACTGGAACGGATGAGCAGAGCACCAACTGTTTTGTTTTGAGTGTGACATTGGGCCAAATGTCCTTCCCCAAAAGTAAAATGGCTGTTCTGAGCACAAATAAGGGTGGGTTGTGTTTTTTTTTAGCACTCTGAGCTCCACAGAAAATGTTCTACACTGGAAAACACCATGGAGTGCCACGCTCCAACATTTCAACCAAAATGTTTTACAATCTCTTGCAGAGAATCCTAGGACTATCTCCTTGTCAAGGGACAGTAAAGCAGTGTTTCTCAACCTTGACAATTTTAAGGCATGTGGACTTCAACTCCCAGAATTCCACAGCCAGCATTGCTGGCTGTGGAATTCTGGGAGTTGAAGTCCACATGCCTTAAAATTGTCAAGGTTGAGAAACACTGCAGTAAAGGATGATAAACAGCCAGGGAAGGGATATCTCACCCCTTAATGCAGAGCAGCTGAAGGCCGCCTGCAGCAGAGAAGATGAGGAGAAGCTGCTTACCTTGGCTTTAGCTTCCACCTCAGCTCCATTTTGAACCAAGGACCGAACCACCTCTGACTGGCCAGCTCTGGCAGCCATGTGCAGGGCTGTCTCTCCCCTCTGTCAATGGAAAGTAGCATCAAGAGGTTATGATGAAAGAGAAAAGGAAGAAAAACACGTTACTAGCAACAAAAGAGTCATTTGGGATCAGGATGTAAAACCAGATCATCTTTGACCTCTCGGGACTGTCTAGCCCAGGGGTAGGCCACCTTGGCTCTTTTATGACTGGTGGACTTCAACTCCCAGAATTCCTGAGCCAGCATGGCTCAGCTTGGAAACCTCTCCCTTTCCCCTCAGCGTGGCTGGCTCAGGAATTCTGGGAGTTGAAGTCCACGAGTCATAAAAGAGCCAAGGTTGCCTACCCCTGGTCTAGGAGGCTCACCGCTTAGAACAGGAGGACTTAGGAAAGGGGGAGGCAACCTTGGCTCTTTTATGACTCATGGACTTCAACTCCCAGAATTCCTGAGCCAGCGTGGATCAGCTTGGAAACCTCTCCCTTTCCCCTCAGCATGGCTGGCTCAGGAATTCTGGGAGTTGAAGTCCACGAGTCATAAAAGAGCCAAGGTTGCCTACCCCTGGTCTAGCCCTTACAAAGTAATTTATTCCAGAATTGATTTATTTTTTTTTAGCCCCGGAAACACACCATGGTTTTGTTCTTCACCAAATTAAAACATTGCTGTTTTAAAAAGGAGAGATGTTGTACGAGGAATTAAGGCAACCTTGTGTTTCAACGACATTATCCACAGGATAAGTCCATGGGACTAACCTTCAGATCTGAATGTTCCCCACAGACACACACAGAGACAATTTGATTCTCTGCTCTTGTGCTTGAGGACTCTGGATGCCTGTTTGTCAGCAGGCAAACTCACAGCTGGGCCAATCGAAACAAATCAATAGTAATAATAAAAAAGGCTATTAACAATCTGCGGAGCTTCACGCACTTCAACCAAAGGATGGGTCACTAGGGAAATGGCAAGGACAGCAAGAAACTGAAAAGGGGAAGTTGCATGTTTGGAGCGTTTGCCAGAGTTTGCTAGAGTTAAAAGCAAATCCTGCCCATAGCACAGATTGTGCTGAGTGCGCCTGTGGCTCACTTCTCATGGCATTGAGCCTAGCAGAGAATGGCCCGTGGCAGACCGTAGCAAAACAAAAACAGGTATTCTCTGGCCAGCTTTGGGAGAACAATCTCGCCACAAACCACTCTGATTTTTAAAGCTTCTCTTCCTCCTGTGGGGGCTGAAAAATGCTCAGCTTTGATTGGAATCTGCTTCATGGACAGAGTGGCCTCAAAATGACATTCAAGAAATAGAGGCTTTCCCACAGACTGGAGGTGGCTTGTGATCATGCACAAACCTTCTCTCCCCGTGGCACAGATCATGGTTAAAAAGAAATTTGGCTAAGACCTAGAGAGAGAAAAGCTGCAGGACCCATCCCTTCGTAGCCCAGGAGAGAACACTTCGTATTTCCCTCTTCTGAAATCCAGCTGGGAGAACTCCAAAGATAGTGTGAGTGCTGGCCTGTTGTGTTGGTTGGTAGAAAAACCAACAACGGGAGCTTCAAATTGTGGTTCCAGACAAGGTCATTATCTCTGCCCTAGACAAACAGCCCAGCCAAGGGAGATGGAGAGGAGGAGGCCACTAGCCTGCCCAGTAATGAAAGGTCCACCCTGCTACTTACCACATTGGTTGTGTTGGGAGAAGCTCCGTGGTGCATCAGGTGTGAAACAATATTTACATGCCCCATGAAGGCAGCAACATGGATTGGAGTCAAACCCGACTAGGAAATAAGCAGAGAGAAGAAAAGAACCGAAATATAAGCAAAGCATTAGCAGAGTACCCCGGGGGCTGAATGTTTAGGGGGGCAGCTTGCTGAGCTGGCACCTGATGGTTAGTGACTGCAAAAATATACAAGGCTGGCTATTGCCAATATTTATTTAAATCCTTTATTGTCAAAGTACAACATGCGTACAATGAGATTGGATGAGCCTCCCTTTGTGCACCCCCCCATCACGACTCACAATGACAACAAACGCACACTCTTATTGCATCACGTGAACTTATTGCACGACGCGCCGGCCCCGCAAGTCTATCATACATGGAGTTATTTCCCATTCAGGAGTCTGACACCCCTTGGGTAGAAACTGTTCTTCAGCCTGTTGGTGCGGCTGGCTATGCTTCTATATCTCCTACACCCGAAGGTAGGAGAGAGTAAAGAAGTGCTGACCGGGGTGTGAGTCGTCCCTGAGGATTTTCCTCACTCTTCTAAGGCAGCGGGCCCTAGCGATGGCGTCTAGTGGTGTCAGGGGACAGCCTGCGATGTTTTGTGTTGTGCTAACCACCCTCTGTAGTGTCTTTCTATCCGCGGCTGTCAAGCCAGCACCCCACACCATAATGCAGTGTGAGATGATGCTTTCTATGGTGGACCGGTAAAAGAAGGTCATCAGTCATTGTTCCACTTTGTTCTTTCACAAGACCCTAAGGCAGTGGTGGCGAACCTATGGCATGCGTGCCAGAGGCGGCACTCAGAGCCCTGTCTGTGGGCACGCGTACCATGCCCCGGAGATGGCGAGGGACTGGCCCCCGCCACCCCGGCCCCACCCACCCAGTCTGCCATGATCACCGCAGCCATGCCCACCTGGCACCCGGTGATAAATAAGTGGGTTTTGGGTTGCAGTTTGGGCACTGGGTCCCTAAAAGGTTCGCCATCACTGCCCTAAGGAAATGGAGTCTCTGTTGGGCCTTTCTGGCCACCTGGATTGTGTTGATTTTCCAGGTGAGATCTTCGCTGAGGTAGACCCCCAGGAATTTAAAGGAGGAAACTCTCTCCACACACACACACACACACACACACACACACACATCCCAATGTAAAGTGGTGCGGGTTCCTCTCTCAATATTACAAGGCCAACCTGTGGCACGTTCAAAACCAATGTGTTGACACTGAGGCCGCATCCTGCGCATCTACCTAGGTTTGGAAGACATCTTCCATTGCACTCTGTACGCATAGCTCTCCAGAAGGTTTGTTTTCTATAATTCAAAGCAGGGGTAGTCAACCTTGGCTCTTTTATGACTCGTGGACTTCAATTCCCAGAATTCCTGAGCCAGCTATGCTGGCTCAGGAATTCTGGGAGTTGAAGTCCACGAGTCATAAAAGAGCCAAGGTTGACTACCCCTGATTCAAAGCAACTTGAGTGCAGAAAGGCAGAAACCAAAAGTTGAAAAGAGTCACGTAGGCAGATCAAATCCAAGCATTCGGGCAAGAGCACATTTATGCGTTCGTGTGCATCACAGAGACTTACAATGTTCCATTTCACCTATGTGGGAACGAGAGTTTGCTTTTCTATTTTGGTTTGATGGCAGTGAAAGCTATCTTAAAAATTCATGGCGAAAATTGAGCAATGGCCAAAATTGTGGAAACCTTTTGGGAAAAGTGTACAGTAGAAATGCCACCTTTGGTTTCCACCAATATTTCTTCTAATTTCTTTATAACTGCAGCCTCGTTCACTTCATAATACTGTTTTACATCGCTTTCTGGGCAACCAGTCAACTCTTTGCACCATGACTTTAATTTTATTACATTTTACAAGCTCACTCAAGGAAAGAACACAAAAAAACCCAACCAACTGGATAGCGATCACATAACACACTGACAAATGCCCTCCTCTCAGCTTCAATACATGACATCAATGACTGAATCCTACTGTGATCTGATTGGCTCATGGCCAAAACAAGAGGACACCTGATTGGCTCTCTAAACACTCATGCTCATTGGCTACCATCAGATGAAGGAAAGCTACCTGAGATCAACCTAAGCAAGTGGTGCTTCCTTTTTCTGGTTATTTGGCTATAACCTTTCATAGAATACAGTACAGATAATTGAACAAACTATGTTGCCTTACATTCTTGATTAAATTATCTTTCCATTGATATATAATTTTAGGGTACTCCTCCAAAACAAAGTGGTGTTATTAGCCATCAAACCTCAAAAATACACTTTTCCCAAAAGGTTTCCACAATTCTGGCCACTACTGTAATTCTTTTACTCCAGCTTGAAATGTTGTGTCTCCGTTGAAGGTCATTACCTAAGACCGGCATAACAAGGTCTTTTCTGGGTCAATTTTGGATACAGCTCTTTGGGGTTTCTCAGTAATTCATGAGATGAAGGCAAAGTTTTCGCCAAAGGACTTTGTTGTCTTGAAATTAGCAAACAGAAATATTCACCAAGGCAATAGAAGGTGGAGATCATGTTTACTGAGAATCCTTTTTTGGCACGCCTCCGCTCTTGTGCTCCAAGGCTGTAACAGGGCTTATTTAAATAAACCTGACCGTAGCTGCGAAGATGCCTTACCTCTGTGACAGCTTGAATCGAGGCTCCGTGTTTCAGCAGAAGGTCCATCACTTTAATTCTGTTCTTTTTGCAGGCAATGTGGAGAGGCGTGAAACCGTTCTGGAAAATTTTTTTGGAAAGCATTACAAAAATCCCCCCCAAAAGAGAGTTTACAAAAATCTATCCATCCCTTTTTAATAGTGTATGACTGCTAACTCTTTTTTTTTATGATTTGTTTGTTTCCGTTTCTCCAGGTGTTCAAAGCAGTTGATTTTATCTGCACACAAAGGTGAAGTAGGTTGGGCTGGGACAGAGGGATGGGACTCTGAAAAATTACACACACACACACACACACATGGAAGCTCCCATGACGGAAAGTGAGTTTAAAACGGGGTCTCTCACTCCTAGCCCAACCCTTTCAGTAAATACCTTTATAGGGTCATATAAGCTGGTAAAAATAGTTCATTGTCCTTGCTAAAATGCTAATGATAAATGTGGCTCAAAGAAAACAAAAAACAGATGTATCATCCAGCACACAACTGCGTTAGTCCAACTGCGACATTTTTTTTTTTTTAAAAAAGGGATGTCCTGACTCTCAAAGATCCACGTATTTCTGCTCGCGGCACTTGCTTAGATGTTGACCATAAATTTTTAAACTAGTCAAAGCAGCATCAGCTGCTTATTTTAAAAGCAACTGACAGAACTGGGTCTCACCTCTGAAGAAAAATACTTCAGCTACCTTCTCAACTGGAGAAAAATATCAGATGCTTTCAGAGTCATTACCTAGTCTGGCTGAATGAGAACTCTCCTTTGTTGTCCCAATCACCACCAATGCCATATCTTCGTCATCATCAAGGAAATCTTCTGATTGCATTTGCCAAGGGTCTCTCTCTTCCTGCTAAGGCAGTGGTTCTCAACCTATGGGTCGCGACCCCATTTGGGGTCGATCGACCATTTCACGGGGGTCGCCAAGCAAGGCTGTCCGCCATTTTTTCCCCCTTTTCCGGCAGGTGCCTTACCTCCCTTGGGCTGGGCCGGCTGGTGGTCGGCCTGCTCCCAGGCAGGGAAAGTCCTTGACTTATGACCGGTTGGGTAGTCCTCAACTTACGACCAGTTTAGTCCTCGACTTACAACTGGTTTAGTCCTCAACCTTAAAAAGGTTGAGAACCACTGTGCTAAGGGCTACTTTTCTGCATCCCACCTGGAGCTATCTGGTCCATGAGAGAGGTGGTCTTGGTGTGACTGACCCCTCTCTTCCACTGCCCTCAGCTAGGAGGTTAAAACCTTCCAGTGCAAGATTTATCAATTTATGTACTATAAGGGCTTGTCTTCCTTGAAAAAGTCCCTGGCTAATTTAGATTTTGAGATCCTTCCTTCCTTCCTTCCTTCCTTCCTTCCTTCCTTCCTTCCTTCCTTCCTTCCTTCCTTCCTTCCTTCCTTCCTTCCTTCCTCTCCTCTCCTCTCCTCTCCTCTCCTCTCCTCTGACCACAATTGTCAAAAATCAATAGTGCAATTTTGTTCCATTTTCAAGTTCAAAATTCTAGAAATCTGTCTTGGGAAATTCATGATAAGCTTAGTACAACTTTTGCTTTAAAAAAGGAAAAAAAATGTAAACAAAGTCCAGGCTATAGAAAAAGAAAATCCTGACATTAAAAAAAAACCAAACTATGTACATCTTTCCTCTTTAACATCTCACTTTTACAAGACTGCTATTATGCAATTATAGAAAAAACCCTCTAAGGAAGCCACTATCTCCTTCCTTCCTTCCTTCCCTCCTTCCTTCCTTCCTTCCTTTCTTCCTTCTTCCCTCCCTCCCTCCTACCCTTCTTCCCTCCCTCCCTCCCTCCCTCCCTCCTTTCTTCCTTCCTTCCTTCCCTCCTTTCCTTCCTTCCTTTCTTCCCTCCCTCCCTCCCTCTCTCCCTCCATTCATTCATTCATTCATTCATTCATTCATTCATTCATTCATTCATTCATTCATTCATTCAAATAAATTAATAATAAATAAATAAACCCAAGGAGGCCCACAGCCTCTTCTCTTGAACCCTACCACCATTGCAATGTTTTTTTCTCCCAGCTCTCAAACACAAGTCCCAACCTAGCTGGTAAACGGGGGAGGGGGGGACAGGAGGGACCCCGGTGTGCTCACCAGTGCTTTGGCATTAGGATTCGCCTTCTTGTCCAACAAAACCTTGGCAACCTTGTAATGGCCACAGTGAGCGGCCACATGAAGCGCTGTCAGATAGTCGTTGGTCACATCGTCCACGGGTACGTGGTGCTCAATCAGGAGCTGAACGCAGTTGAGATGGTCCCCTTGGGTCGCCATGTGCAACGGAGACAAGCCATTCTGGAATATCAGAAGAGGGGAAGCAGAGTAAGAAAACCACCTCTGGAAAATAAAGACAAGACTAACATCTGGTTCTCGTCTAGCTGCTCAGCTGGATGGGTATTTATAGGGGGAGGCTCAAGGGAAACCTTTCAAGGGGCTGTGATTCTTATCTTACAAAAGCAACACATCCATGGGAACTTCAAAGTAATCGCAGGAAAGGAAAAAAAGAAAAAAAAGGAATGTTTACACTGGTAGAAGTGCTTAACCTGGAAGTCAGACCTTTTCAAGCCAAGACAGGAATAGGCTTCTAATCTTTTAAACCACCGGGTTGTTTTTCACCAAGTAAGAACCCTGTATTTAAATAAAGAGAAACCTTTCCCACACACCCAGAAAGACCTACGTCCAAAATATCCCTAGCGAAGGAATGCAAACAATCTAAAGTTTTGTTGTTAGTTGCGAAGTCGTGTCCGACCCATTGCGACCCCCATGGACAACGTTCCTCCAGGCCTTCCTGTCCTCTGCCATCTTCTGGAGTCCATTGAAGCTCATGCCTACTGCTTCAGTGACTCCATCCAGCCACCCCATTCTCTGTCGCCCCCTTCTTCTATTGCCGTCCATCTTTCCCAGCATTAGGCTCTTCTCCAGTGAGTCCTTCCTTCTCATTAGGTGGCCAAAGTACTTGAGTTTCAACTTCAGGATCTGGCCTTCTAAAGAGCAGTCGGGGTTGATCTCCTCTAGGACTGACCGGTTTGATCGTCTTGCAGTCCAGGGGACTTGCAGGAGTCTTCTCCAGCACCATAGTTCAAAGGCCTCAATTCAAATCTAAAGTTACTTTGCACAGATCTCTAGACATGGATCTTTAAAAAAAGTCAGTGGTTGCAGAAAGGCCTTCTGGATGCATCTCAAGGAAATGCGGCATTTTTTTGAATCAATCTTTGATGTATGAATAGAAGCCGTCAACAACAGATCAGGTAGCCAACAGAGAGAATGTCCACACGAGAGATGCTTAGAATTGCTCTTTGATACTGAGCGCCTTTTATGACAAGCCTAGTAGGACAGCCACAATTGAGAGCTATTGTGGGTTAACAGTTTGATAAGAGGGCAAATAGTCAAGTTCGTACGCATTCCCATGCTTAGTATTTTCCTGGCTTACCGGGAAAAGAGGTATTCTGCATCCCTTGCATCCACTTTTATCTAAATAAGATTACTCTAAAAACTTGTTTACATAGAAAAGTGTTTGTCAACGCTGCTAACATCGGATGTTCTTGCTTTGACAACATATGGAGATGCAGCCATTTTCCTTCTTATCTTTTACTCTTAGAATTAGAGTTAGAATTAGATGATACTGGAGGGGAGGAAGAGGAATGTGCATGGGAGTTTTGTTAGACATAACAATATTGTAACTAGTGTGAGAACCAAGGTTTTTGAAATAAGAGATGATAAGAAATGGCGGGTTGAAGAACTGGAGGGAAAGCCGGCATTTCAAACATATTGGAGAATGTGATTTATGACTGTTAATTAGAGGAAGGAATTGTGCTTTGATACTATGTGTTCAGGGGAGGGGAATTCAGATTTTGGCTTGGCCTATGTACGTGCCGATGCTATGCTACTCAAATAAAGATTCTTTAAGATAAACAATGCCTCGAAGTTCTTTGAAGAGTTTCATCTATCAGAAGCATGACAGTGTTATAGTCTGAAAGGGACTGGGTTTAAAAACAGCTTCTCCTTCCTGTGATTTTGGGTTGAGCTTCCTGCAAGTGTCGAAGAGGCCTAACCCTGCTTAGATTCCAAGCCTAGACTAAATTGGGCCAAGGCTGCCATCTACTGAGACAGGAGAGGAGCTTCAGAAGGCTTCCTGAGACCATCATCCCTTGGGGTGATGAGACAAATTGTAGACAGCCCGGGTCTAAAGAAGCACCACTGAAGGTACCAGAAGAGGTGAAGGAGGGAAGAGGTTCTCCATGGCCCTTTTTCTTCAAGAAATCGACTAGCATCTCCTTTTCTGGTTAGCAGCCATTTGCTTGTGCCAAAAGTAATGATCAGAGAAGAGTAAAACAAGGGCCATGAATGGTTTAAAGTGGGTCACGACCAAATCCACATTAGGCTGAATTTCTGCTGCTACAGTACATTAAGGCAATGTGAGAAATTTAAAAAAAGACCATTTCGGAATCAAATCCACACTGTAGTCAACGCAATGTTTTGAAAAACGAAGAAAATGCCATTTTAGGAATGCCTTAAGAAAACAGCTTTACAGTTTATCCGAGCTTTTCTCAAGACCTCGGCTGAAGCAAGCAGAAAACACAGCTTTAGGATTCTCCACTGGAGGAAGAAGAGCCAAGGCCAAACACACGGGACTGAGGTGCAGACACCACTTCCAACATATAGGAGGATGCCCCATTCTGTCCCACAAGCTGCTTTGAATCCTTCCTGGTTCGAAAGACAGACTGACGTGGGAAAATCAAACCCAAACTGGGCGGATAGAATTACTTGCATGCTGCTTGGCACCGCTGAAGTTGTACTTAGGCCTAGATAAGGCTTGGAAGCCCTGGCTCTTTGCCCAGGTTTCTGGCATCTGTTTTTGGCCCTTGTCTGGGTTTTGCTAACTTTTTATTTCCTTTCTTCTACTTTCTTCTATTGTTTAATATTTGTTTTAATGTTTTTACCTGTGAACCTCTCAGCTGTATTGAGATTTGGGTGCTATACGAATTTAATAAATAATAATAACATAATTTAGGCTTCTCAAACTGGTTGCCCATGATACGGGGAGAAAATGTTTATCAGGAAACAGTCAAATTAATCACGGGCACTGCAGGTCAAATGTTGACAGATGGAAGGATTGTAATCTCTGGCCAAACATTGACAAAACCTGAAAATCCTGTTTGAATAAATGTTCACCTGAGAGGAAGAAAAACGTAGCTATGAATAGCAATAGGCATCGATCTATCTGCCGTGCATGCTTGAAGTCCCTTAATTTTCACCAGCTCACAGGGCATAGGCAGAAAAGACAGAAAGCGGCATGTTTCTGTTTAAAAAACTAAGACACAGGGCTGAGTTTTATGGTGAACCATGTGGGAAGTCAGCCCCCCCCCAGAGAAGGAAATATTAAAAGGGCAGAAAAATATATTTCCTCAAAGGATCTTAAAGAGGCAGAAAAGCATGCCCAGTTTTTTTAATAGCCCCAAGTCTCCCTCCCCCAAGCAGAAACCAGCTCTGTACAAATGCAGATGTAAATAATCCAGGAAGGTTGGAGGCCCCCAGCTAGAAGCTTAGAAAGACAGACACCTAAAATCTACCCCACCCAAACTCTAAGACAGGACATAATAGGATTAACCCAGATGCCAAAGGGCACATCCAGACTCAGGTCAGAATACATGACACAGGAAATACAAAGCCTCAAACAGGAACAGGAAACAACTCCAAATAAAAGCCCCAGAGGGTATAAAAACCCACTCCCTATATGTGCTCTCTCTCTTTTCTTCCAGAACCATCTTTCTGTCTGGCTCTCCTCTCCAATAAACTGCCACCTTCTTTCTAAAGCAGTCGCCATGTTGTTTATTCCCGGCTTGGACTGAACTTTTCCTTCAATAACCAGGAATCAAGGAACCTGTCGTAAGTTCTACAATTGCCCCATTTCCCATCTGAAAAAATGGGTGCAGAAGTTCTAACCTAAACCAGGGGTCCCCAACCCCCGGGCCATGAACCAGTACCAGGCCACGGCATGCCAGCAACCGGTCCGCACAAACAAGTGAAGCCCCATCTGCGAGATGCAGGCAGCACACAAAACCACGCACCCTCCAGTCCGCGGAAAAACCTCTCTCCACGGAACTGGTCCCTGGTACCCAAAAGGTTGGGGACCTCTGACCTAAACTACAGAGTTGTTGTGATAAGTAACACAAAATAATGTAGACAAAGAAGCATCCTGAGAATTCTAAAAGGCACTACCTGTCCCACCTAAATGCAAGGCTGTTTCTAAGCTGGAAAAGAACAGAAATTATGGATGGAAGTGAATTTCCAATCATGTTATATTCAGCCACACTCTTTTCTTCACCAGCCTCTTCGAAACAAAAGGTGGATATAAATGGGAGGCTTTGGAGTCTGCGATTCCTTAAATCCTGAGCTCCACAACATTTACCTTTGTTTTGGAAAGAAGAGGGGCTCCACGGTCGAGCAGCATCCGTACGACTTGTTCGTGGCCGCTTCGGGCTCCACAATGCAGAGGGGTCAGGCCGTCCTGAAGGAAATAAACTTACAGCTCTTTTTGGGGTGGGGGAAACCAACAAAAGCAGGGACATTTAATGCCTGCAGAGTAGTGTCCAGGAAGAAAGACACATCTTAATTATATTTTTTTTACTTATTAGAAATAGAATCAAGAAGTCACATTTGCCAATATCATAGGATAATGGTTCAGTAAGTATTTAGTCTGCCTTATGCATACAAGAAATAGTTGCTCAGAGAGAGTGCCGGGACCAAGATAATTCACGAAATGAAGGAGAAGGGAAGACCTATAGCAGTGATGGCGAACCTTTTAGAGACCGAGTGCTCAAACTGCAACCCAAAACCCACTTATTTATCGCAAAGTGCCAGGGCCGCATCAGCATTGTGGTGCCCTCAGGGGGGTGGGTGGGCATGGCCCACTGGGTGGGCGTGGCTGTGGTGGTCATGGCAGACTGAGTGGGCGTGGCCAGGGTGGGCATGGCCACCTTGATGTTGCTCATGGGGGGGACGCTTGTGGGGGCTGGGCAGGATTGGGGGAGATCCAAGGGATCTCTGGTGGGTGGGGCAGTGGGCAGGAGGCTCATCCTGCGGGGCGAGGCAGGGGGTAGGGCAGGGGTGCCATTGCTGTGGGGCAAGGTGAAGCAGGGGCGGCTGCTGCCTGACACCATCAGCCCCCGCAACAGAGACCAGCGAGCACATGGGGGGCGCTCTACCACCTCTACTCGAGCTTGCTAGCCAGCTGCTTCGCCTCCTATGTGCTGGGTGGGGCTGCCACTCCATGCACCAGCGGTGGCCTAATGGACCTGCACAAGCTGGCGGCGATGGCGGCAGGTGTGCCCACAGAGATGGCTCTGAGTGCTGTCTCTGGCACGCGTGCCACAGGCTTGCCATCACTGACCTATAGAAACCTAGTCTTTCCTGCTTCTTCCCTGCTCACTGTAGCTTCCTCCCCCAGATGAAGTTCTTCTTGGTCTTTTCCCCTACACATTCTGGATGACAATTGGTATTTCGAGTCCAATCTTATAAGTAGTCACTTCAAACCCCATTGGAACAAGCCCCAACTTTCTCCAAACACATTTCTGAACCAGGCATTCCTAGGAAAAGCCTTGGAGAACAATTTTATGAAACACAAAGGACAGATCCCATGCAAAGTTCTTCACCTGACGGACTCACTCAACATTCACAAGTTCTTCTTACCAGGCGGGACTTTTTCTCCATCACCCAAGAATGAAAGTTTTTGGGTAGGATGAAGGCCTTTCCCCCCCTAACCACAGTCCTTACCCTCAAACCCCCATCCTTAGAGCAAGCAAACCTAGTTTTTACATGCTGGGAAAGATCCTGCAGGTGTCTCATTTAGATGATGCAACTCTGCATCTTATCATGGAATCCTCAGGAATTGCAAATGGTGAAAGGATAATGTTTGTTGTATACACTCATCTATGACTGAGTGAGAAACAACCAAGAATATTGTATTTTTTGGAAAGGTAAATCATTCCAAGCTGCTCAAGCTTGATCCCTGAATTTCTGAGGTTTGACAACACATCTCCCCAGTTGTTTTGCTTCTAGAACTCAAGGGATTCATGAAGAGGTCATCATTTCAAAAAATACCTAAAAAAACCCTCCAAAATTCACAAAGCCACAATTTAGTGTGCTTCACGCAGCTATCTTCAAGCTCCAGGAAGGTCCTGGTTTCTCCTATTTAACTGACATTTATTTGGATTTTTCTGCTCCTCGGCACTTCTCACAATGTTCCTCCAGGACAGCGTGTCAGCTAATGTCACTTTCTTTAAGATGGCTGAGGCAATTTGTGACAGGCCAAGCACTTACTTCACAGCTGAGGCATATTTTACCCGTAGCCTTGGTCTATGAGACCAAGCCTCATATTTCTCATCCTATCACTCAGTGGCTACACAACACGTCAAGCCCACGAGCCTCCTAAGCTCCATTCAAACCTGAAAGTGCCAGAGAAATCAAAATCCTGAGACGGGAAGGAGGACGGGACAGAGTGGCTTCATCAGCCCTTTAGATGACTTTCTTGCTCTTTGGTTCCGCCAGGTGTTTGCTTACTGTGAGCTCACATGCTCCAGGAAACAGTGAATGTGAACAGTTTATACTTTTGCTTTAGTCACCAGGTTAAAATATAACAACATTCACATGACCAAAGCTAACCAAATAACCACAATTGCAGGAAACGGAATCAACCAGCAGCATTTGCTACCCAAAAGGATTTGCAATTCATCCATCCAAAGTGCCCTTCAGAAAAACTAGATCTTAATCATTTCATTTCATTTCATGTGTTTTGCTTGTATGCCGCTCATTCCTATAGGTCAGTGGTGGCGAACCTATGGCACGTGTGCCAGAGGCGGGACTCAAAGCCCTCTCTGTGGGCAAGCACACTGTTGCCCCACCACCGCCTCCCTCCCAGCAGCCCCCTCCTCACCAGCAGCCCCTCCGGAGGAGAGTCGCCCCGGGTGCAGCCCGCGCAGAGTAGCACAAACAAGGACATGGCAGCCGGGCAGCAGGGACGAAACTCCACCCTCACGCCCGTCGTGCGCAGATGATGCTGCGGGGCGCGGGCGGAGGGCATGGCTGCTATGGTGCTGCAGGGCCACCTGCGCGATCTGCTGCTGTGGGCTGTGGAGGTGGTAGGTGGCCCTGCGGGTGGGGGGGCAGGGCAGGGGGTGGAGTGGGGCTCAGGGGGCAGGGGGGCAGGGGAGGGCACGGAGGCAGGGTGGTTTTGGGGCACTCGGTATCTAAAAGGTTCGCCATCACGGTTATAGGTGCTTTCTGGAATGAGGTGACCTTGTCTCTGTTCTTAAAAAAGGGGACCACCAGAGCTTGCATTTGGGGTCCCAGATGGCAATATTCCCTAGGATATGGGTCTCACCGGAAGGGCAGACACCGCCCAGAAAAAACGATCTCCAGAGACACAGTGGACAAATTGAAGCAACTCCATCTAATTTGGGACTTTGTACTTTGCTTGTTTCTCCCACAAAAGGAGGGGAGAGGAGGATAAATGCGTGGGCAAAAGAGATATTCATAAGCCAATTTATTAAGACAAGATACGATCACTTGAATGCCATGTCAAAGAGGTTCAAAACCAGCCAAATAAACACCAGCCAAATATAAAGACCCATCAGTACAATAATGAAGAGAAAATGACATTCCGGAACGCCAGCAAGCTTAACGCCGTAAACAAGATCTATACAACGTGTTATTTAGCTGTCACTTCAACCTCTTTTACTTGTTTAAGCCACATCAATCACTTCTTTTCCCGCACATTTTGGGGAAGCGCTTTCAAAGCAGTTTTGATGATTTCCCTGAGTGCACAGTGTGCTCCATTAACCACTGTGATATCCTGGGGAGCATCTTTCAGACAGGGAAAAAGTGGTATCATTGCTTTAGTCATTGAGATCACATCTAGCGAGGGCAACCTTATTTATTGTTAAGATCCTGTTGTGCCTCAAATGCCAAAGGGTGAGATTATCAGGGAGCTGAGAGAGAGAGAGAGAGAGAGACAGACAGACAGACAGACAGACAGACAGACAGACAGACAGACAGACAGAGACAGAGAGACAGACAGAGAGAGAGAGAGAGAGAGAGAGAGAGAGAGAGAGAGAGAGAGAGAGAGAGAGAGAGAGAGAGAGAGAGAGAGAGAGAGAGAGAGAGAGAGAGAGAGAGAGAGAGAGAGAGAGAATAAATCATACATGGGGCCCAGGGCACCTCTAGGGAAACCTCCCCCAGAGTCACAGGAGCAATGAATAATGGAAGCAGAGAACCGGAAGTCCTGCAGATACCGCACAGCTGGTAGAAGTTGCTGTTACAAGATATAGCAAAGGCTCCCTCCAGACAACGGTAGGACCTCCATCGAAAGACTACGTCCCTTTCAGTGCCAACTGCAAGGGAGCTATGGAGCTTACGTCCTGCTAGCCCCTCTGAGAAGGTAGCCTGGATTAAGGTGATCTTCCGTCTGAGTAGAAGAATTTGGGCTGCCTCCAAAGAAGCAACTCTCGTGCCCCATCGTGGTGGCAGGCCTGAAAGAACCAGAGGAGGCTCCTCTTCCACTTTTAAAGTCTCCTGCAAGGGGAGGAAGCCCATCATCCACAGGGAGGCCATAGTGGTATTCAACCCTAGAGGGTTCAAGTGGATGAAACTTCCTCTCTTATTTTTTTCCCCGAAATCTCTCTTCTTCTTAGGACTTGCTCTGTCCAGGGCACTGAAAGAGAGCTGCCTCCATTTGGTGTGCAATGTGACTGCTTGAATGTGGATTTTTTTAAATGGTTTTTAATCAATCTCAATAGACCAGGGGTGTCAAACTCAATTTCATTGAGGGCCGCATCAGCATTGCGGTTGCCCTTGGGGGGGGGCGGGTAGGGGTGGCCAGGGTGGGTGCGGCCTACTGGGTGGGCGTGGATGGAGTGGGTGTGGCCTACTGGGTGGGCATGGCCAGCCCTACATCGTTCGCGTCAAGGGGGCCTGTGGGGGCCTAGGCAGGAGTGGGACAGATCTGAGGGTCTCTGGCAGAAGGGGGTGGGACCGGGGCAAGTGCCAAAGCATGGTACATTTCTTCATTCCTCACAAAGGGTGACACCTCCCCAACATGCACCCAGGGGGCGGGAGAGACACAGTAGGGGCTGGTTTCTCGCTGTTTCTAGACGGCCTTGTGGAGCTAAGACTGAATGCATTTCAGCATAAATGGCCACCACAAAATTGTACATTGGCTCCCGGCCGGCCTGGGCCAGGGCCAAGGCAGCGGGGGCCGTTCCCTCACTGTTTCCAGGATGGCTTCGCAGGCCACATGAAACCATTTCGTGGGCCGCATCCGGCCCCCGGGCCTTGTGTTTGACACGTCTGCAATAGATGTACAGTAAACCAGCAAGGGTCAACGGTGTATAAACACCGCACTAAACAAAAAAACTGATACCTTTTGGAGGATAGTTTTTTTGGGGGTTTGTTTCATGGGTAATTCATGGAGAGTTCATGGGTTTGTGGTCAGGCCTGCCCAAGTCATATCTCCCCCTTGGGTTGCCCTTGGGGGGCTGGGTGGGTGTGGCCAGGGTGGGTGCGGCCTACTGGGTGGGTGTGGAAAAGAAACCCTCAACTCCATTTGGGAAAGAAAGACCCTCAACTCCATTTGGCTTGAAGTAATAGGTTCTTTTCCTAAAGGGTGCTGGATGTAGTAATGTCAGGCTAGAACTGAATTTCCT